TCAAAAAGCTTCCGGATCTAATGTTCCAACATGTTTACGCTTCCCATCAAACAATACCGCCGAAACACGACCTCCGCTCGGACGCACACCGCCTACCCACATTCTTCTAATGTCATTATAAACTCCTCGATCTTCTTCCTCGCCACTTCCCTCGGCGATCCTCTCTTAAAACGCAGCCGCATTCGGCTAATAAATTAATTTCGTTTCTGCGTACGAAGGCGTAGAAGGGACATAATATAATTTTTATTGCACAAAGTCGGAACTCTGCCTCACAGGCCGGAAACCCGCACGGACAGAATACGTCGTTACTGTTATTATAATTGCAAAGACAGCCACAAACAACACAAATAGGACTGTCGTTAACACACAGAATTAAAAAAGTACACATGGTTAAGTCCTAAGTATATCACTACCACTGTCATAAACGGATGTAAACGTAGCACCACTCCCATAAAAATACGTAACTTGTTCAATTTGCGCAATCATAGGCACACTTTTACAACTGGGCAGGGCAAGTATAACATCACATTCACTGTTTTTGTTATAATAGCTACCGTAACATTCCATTTATATTATTGTACCATATTTGATTATGGAAACAGGAAAAAAGTACCCAATCCAAGTTCATTTCAAATCCACAACGAAATTACTAGAAAGATCATCTTGTATATTCTTAGTTTGTGAACGGCTGTATCTAAACGACCTTCTCACCTCCTAGAACCAAAACCCTAAACAATTTAGAGACTGAAGCTAGTCTTGTCCAGTTACAATGGTTGAACCCTGAACCCATAGTACCAATAAAAGTTCTCTATACTTCACATTGGATTCAAAGCCTTCACAATACTCCCTTTTCTATTCTAGGTTCTACGTTCTAAACAGTACCTATACCGAATAAGACAGGCGCGGATACAGGATTTCGTTTAGGGGGGGGGGCAATTTTTGTGGTATTTTACCTATCTCCCAGAAATGCCTTCTAAACAAAAAAAATATATAAAATTTTAACTAGTATACTCTTTTTAACATAACATGGGTGATATTTGGTTGTTTTCGTTACACGTATAGTGTACAGTAGAACCTCGATAATCCGAATTAATTGGGAAAAAGGTGTGTTCGGATTAACGATTTGTTCGGATCAGCGATTTTCCCAAAAATCTGAAAGGAAATTGAATGACAACTTCATACACAGTTGAAAACAAATTTCAAGAAATAAACCTTAATTTTATTAAACAAAATTAAAGAATTCTTAAGCAACAATAGATAATAGATACATTCTAAAAAAATATTACTCCGTGACCATAAACACGCTATCTTTTTGGAATCAACACGCCGGGATCTATACCCTGACTTTTTCAGAATTTTTAGATGAATTTTTCAAAAATGAAATTTTCCATTATGTATTACCTCCGTTATGCAAATTTCGACCCATTCTCGACGATTTTCGAAATTTAACTAAATACATTTTCTTGTAGATTTTGGACCTCAGAAGTCACTTCTAGCTTCATTTCTTCGATAACTTAAACCTTTTTCCAGATTCGTCCAGTTGAACCACTTATGGCAGTTTTTAAAAATTTCGAAAAATTCGAATTTCACACCGAATTTTCGAAAATATTGCTCGGTTACCATTAACATGCTATATTTTTGGAATCGTCGGGATATACATATCCCTGAATTTTTTCAGAATTTTTAGGAAATTTTTTCAAAAATGAAATGTTCCTCATGCAAATTTCGACCCATTTTCGACGACTTTCGAAATTTAACTACCTAAATACCTTTTCTTGTAGATTTCGGGCCTCATTTCTTCGATAACTTCAACTTTTTTTCCAGAATTAAATTAATTAATTCAGTGCATTGAAATATGGCAATGTTTAGAAATTTCAAAATACTCCATACAACATATGTAGAAAGATCTTGCGTCATTTTTGCAAGTAGGTGCGTGTTTTCAAGTTCAGTTCAGATTGTAGAGTTTTTGTTCGGATTAAAGAAGCATGGATTTCAAATAGCCTGTGTTCGGATTACTGGATGTTCGGATAATCGTGAATTCGGATTATAGGGTTGTAGGTGCTGTATTTACAAAATGAAATGCGATTTCAAAATTTTGAAATTGGTCAAAATAAAGTACCTCAATCGTGTGTCAGGGGGGGGGCAATTGCACCCATTGCCCCCCCCCTGGATCCGCGCCTGGAATAAGATCAAAATGCCGTTCACACCGCTCCTCAGTAGTAACCTAGATACACAAAAATGTTCTACTGTAAAGTCAAAACACGTTTTCTTACTGTGTCAAACGTAAAATCAAAAAAAATCAATACATACAAAAGAAAAACTAAACATTGGTCGAAGGTTATTTCTCTTGCCCTTGAAGCATAGTCCTGCAAATCCCCCTGCAAATTTCAAGGATGTGGACGGGAAAAAATGTAGATACTTTCAATTTCTCAGTACATGCTTAACTTTGACACTACGTTTATATTTCGACAGAATTCGATTATTTGCACGTTCAGATTACAAGCAGCAGCGGTTAAAAGAAAATGAAATTTAAAATATTGCTTATATAATTTTGATTTTTTCCCAAAAATTTGGGTGCCAAAAGTAAAAACTCAATACGGATTCATAAATCACACATGCAGGAGTGAAATTCATCATCACTTTTTTGGGGAGGCATAAACGAAAAAAATTTGATGAAAGATTTATCATGCTTACGATAACCTTAAAACGTTTGCAAGATTTCAGAGCATTCTGTTTTGCAGTTTTAAAGTTAAGTTGCAAAATGTTATGCAGTTTTGATTTTTTTCCAAAAATATGGATGATTTGGAGGTGACGTCATTCTATTGTTGGTGGGGACGATTAACCACATTTTGCTTAGTGTTTTACCATCTACCCGATATTTTTGATGCACATAAAATTTGGCGGTCGAGTAGTTTCAGAGTCTAACAAAAATCCGGACAGGCGGCAAACAGACAGACAGACAGACGGAAATGGCAAACCTATTTCTTGTATCATGGAATGTCAAGAAAATATAAAAGTAGCCAGTCGTCCAATGGACTCGATTACAATACTTCCTCCGGAAGTAAAAACGGGCGTTTTCGTTGAACCACACTTGGAAACTTTAAAAATATTGTTCATATTCCATGGCAACAACATTGTTTATAAATTATTAATTATAGAGTGAAGATAATAAATTTTAACCAACAAAATTGAAAGTAAATATTCCGCAAAAATACAACGTGTCGGATTGTTTTAACTGCCCCATTTTAAAAATTAATCATGAATTGTCATTATTCCATTGTCGATGTTGGATTTTATAACCTCATACATTTCCGGTTCTACATGTCAGGAGTATGATCACGCGTGATATGTAGAAACAGGTAGTACAAGATCAAATTGTACATGATTGGTGTACTGAAATCGACTTATACCAATCGATCCATACTCCCTAAGTAAAATTAAAAGCAAACACAAGATTGTAAATATCTATGATTTTTTATTTTGTTAAAAGCTCGACAGTCGACAAAACAACATTCGTTATTTTGTCTAATGACATATGAGAGGCGTAACGTCACACAACTAGCCATAACAAAATAAAGCCTTTGCACAGAAACGTCATAACACATAAAAACATATATTTAATTAATTTAATTTTAATACAACATGCATGCGTCTTACGTTACCGACGCTGATTATACTGCGTCGCGCGACGCGCAGAAACCCCGCCCCTAATAATGAAATAATCGAATCAAAATTTTTTAGCCACATTTTACTTCGGTAATTTTAACGTAAAGTGTGTAATGAAATTTTATTGGGAACATTCGTTTGCAATGAACATAACCAGTTTCGTTCAGGTTTTAGGGGTTGCAGTAACGAATGTCTAGAACGCCACTAAAAAACAGAGAAGAAAAATAATCACGTTAATTAAAATTAGGCGCGAACATAAATCGTATATCGTCAATCGAAAATTAAATGACTCACAGCAGACCCTGAAAACAGTCTTCAAGGTGATGCTAATATTATTTACATTCACGTTTTAAAAATACAAACTAAAAACGAGAAGATAAAAAAAATCAAAAAAGGTCCGCAATTACCACATAGAATATATTTAAGCCTTGTGTCAAAAAACTGAGCATTCCAAGTTGTCTACCGATGAGGTACTGTCAGAATTCATGAATGCTACAAATTCCGTGTCAAAATATTAGTAAAACCAAAGCATACGCGTCCGCGAAAGTCACTTTGTGTACGTGTAGCGGAAAATTTTTTCGATTGTGCGATTTTGACGAGCTCAAAATTTGCAAAGTTCGTGTCTTTGTAGGTGCCGTTGACGGATTTGCATTATCAGGTGTGCAGAAAATTATTCATGCAGGTAACATTGCTATCGGTATTAATTGTGGTATGTTTATTCAGTGTTGTCACACAGGTGTAGCATAATTTATCGATTTCTCAAGATATTAAGAAAATTGTTAATTCTTATCGGTATATAGTCTTGTTGTGTTGAAAAAAAGTCTAAGCTTTGCGTTGCAGATTCTTAGAAGGTAGTCAAAGTCGAGATCGTGGTATTGCCGTAATCGAAAGGGGAATGCGGGGGTGGCGGCAATCGGAGATTGGCGTTGTTGTACGTGTCGTGCAGCGGTCGCGCTCAGAAGGCTCGTTAACCTGCCCCTTTCCGTCCGAGTTAATTCTTCGAGTAGAGTTTTCGTCTACTGGACATTTCATTTTAGGATCGCCTAATCATCACCGTCAGCTTTCCGGCTTTCGTATTTTTCCGATCCGGGTTCTGATCCGAGTGCGTTACTTTTCACTTTTATCCATCCTCAGGGACCGTTGTCCGGCCCGATTTCCGCCTCTTTTCATTCGCGACTTATCCCTCTGGGAGCCTTGATTTCAATACGGACCTGAATATCGCCGTGTTTCCCGATAACACTTAACACTTAAATTAAGGGTAAATAACGGCGAGAAGTTTTAGGTCGTTTTCAATACATCGTCCTCCACTAAACTTGATCCTTCTTTTGTTACAGCATCCTTGAACTTAGGAAAGAAAAAAGCAGAGATGCGGCGCGATCGAGGAGAGGAAAAGAAAATTTCGAGTTTTATGAATTAGCCAAAATGCTTCCGCTTCCCGCCGCCATCACCTCACAGTTAGACAAAGCTAGTATCATTCGACTCACCATTTCCTACCTGAAACTTAGGGACTTCTCAGGACACGGCGACCCTCCATGGAGTCGGGATGGACCGCCGCCTAACAAAACGCTAAAAGGTACGTCAACGCAATCCCAGATTCCAGATTCTTCCTCTTTTCGAATTCGTCGCAAGCTTTTAACGCATTTTTGCGATAAACTGTCCACGATGCGATTAGCATTCCTGGCATACAAAGTGGAATAATGGACAAGCGGCGATCCATAACTTATTCATTCTCCGGTTCATCGTACAAATGCTTTAGTAATCAAAAAATCGTGCGTAAGAATTCTAATTAGATTAGAAAGCTGGAATCTGCATAATTAATTCCTTTATGATCTTGCCCCGAGCACGTATACACAAATTTTACTACGAATCCTTGTATAGCAATCGGACGGTAACGAATTTAGCGTGCTTTCTACTTCGTCGACGAACAATGAGGTTATGACACTACCCTGGATCTACGTTTGTGACTGCAGAATAATAAAATAGCCGACCATTTTGTTTTTATTTAGTTGATATTTTAGTCCATTCGTTGCCGTGCTACGTGATTGTGAACCGTAATTTGAAATTTTGCTTAATGTTTATGTTGTTGAGTTGCATACTTAACCACAAAGTCAAGCAGGAAATCGCGCTCTAATGCCGACACCCGCGCTTCAATCTTTACCGTCCCACCTTAGATACCAATAAACACAAATACAGAGCTCGATAAAATATTATTACCGATAAAACGGATTAATAGGGGCCGTTCCCAATTGCAGCTGCAGATGGGAACAACATCTTTCATAAAAACAATATCGGGGCAGTCGAGGACCTCTCTCTAGAGACTTCTTCTTCGCCTGGTCAGCTCTCCTTGTATACCAATCCCACCCCTGGCACACCGCCACCGCCGCCGCCGCCGTGACCGACGGTCACTATTCTCCGCTCGGATAATTCAATAACAGACCTTTAGCTCGTCAGCACCGGAAGCGGCCGCCCTTTTTGCTCGAAGAATCATTAATCCAATTTTTCATAAAACGAACACAACAAAAATCAAGCATCTACTTCACTCAAAACGATCACCGCCAGAAATCACCGCCGAATAAAAATCCGGTGCCCCCAGGGATCCACCTTCGACCCCCTTATTACAAGTCAAGGATTTCTTGCTGAGAGTAATTTTCCACTCAAAATGCACATGCTTCACTCACATTTGGACTTTTTTCTAAAAATATGGTGAACGTTCCCACCAAGATGGAAACACGTTCTCGGACAAATAGAGTCCATCAGCCGTTGACATTTGCAAGTGACTTCGGGTTGTAGACTACTCTTATCGAGTGTCTAAATGAAGCTTTTGCACTAAAAATATCAAAGTCGGTGTCCCCCAGGGATCTGCGTTGGGCTCATTTTTTCGCGCCCAGAGTGCAATTATCGATTGATTTGGCCGTGTAGGTAAATGAGCTTTTGTGTGTGTGTCTGTTTGACGATTATAACTAAGTTTTCTGTAATTTGGGGGCGTGGAAGGAACGCACGGTTAATCGAGTTTGGCGTGTGGCGGTCGGATCCGGCGCGGACGTTTTTGATAAATTTTTGAAGCGTGCGGGGAGCGGGTGTTTGTAAATAGGAGCCGCGGCGGTTCAAAGTTATGCAAATGCAATATAATATCGAATTTGGGTAATTCGCGGTTTGAGTTGTTTGAGGAGCGTCGGTAGCGGAAGCAAAGCAAATTTCATTTGAAAACTGAAACAAAACACCCTAACCCTCTAGATCAATGTCAATTCATTAAAAGTGTGCAAGTAAGAATGTTCAAGCGCGGTCTAATTCTCAATAATTATTTCGCTTGGAACCCTCGCTGCCACAAGTACACGAATTACGGCTGTGAATTTTCCGAGTTTGGTTTACAATAAGCACCACCTAATTTTATCATTCTCGGCCGGGGATAGAATTGGATTTGCGAGTTTAACAGCGAGGGTTCATGATTAGATTTACATGTTGTAGTTAGGGGCCTACCGCTCTAAGCGGGGCCGAGTTAGCGCGATGACACACTTTCAATCAAGCCGAACATACACGTCAGATTGTCACGGCGTTAGTTAGAGACAACCCCGCTTTAAAGACAACCCGCAAGTTGCCGGAAAGCGGCATGCACGTACGCACCCAAACTTCCAACATATAGAACAGAAAGACCGGCCCCTGTCAAATTTGCAAAATTTCGTCTGTTTTCCCAACTCGACAACTTACAAATTTCCAAAATTATCTCTTCCACCCCTTTTAAATAAATTTGAAGATCATATTAAAAGATTACGAGGAAAAATATATTACGGCCAGTGTCTCGCTGAAACGAGTTATTACTCAAAAGACGATTTAATCTTACGGTAGATATCATCATGAACAATTACAACGATTTACAAAAACTGATTTTCCTGCCTGGAATGAAAACATCTCTTAAGAGCTACATTCTCATTCGCTATTCATCACACACAGTATCTCCGTATTAAAATCAAATAAAACATTCAAAGTGAACAGATTTGCTTTCGTTCCAAACACGCAGCACAGATTCTCGTTAGCACAAACAAAACATTCGGCTTTTCTTTTAAAAATGTTAACCTGATTTGATATAAACCCTTGTGTCTACTCGGTGCCCCAGTAATTCCATCCGCTGGGTTGATCCCGGTGCATCTATTTACATTACTCGATGACCGTCCAAATCCGATTAATACAGTCCCGTTGACATGTTTTAACTATAGAGGAAGGTACGTCGTTAACCCTATCATGTCAGTCAATATTGACGCGGAATCGGGTTAGTTTCTAGCTCTTCATTAATAATAATAACCAGAAGAGTAAGAATATTTTTATTCCCAACCGGTTATGGAGCACACAATTGCAACAATAAAAAATAAGGAAACGAAACATACAAGCAGTCATTTTTGTGAAACGATCAGTTGCCCGTACTGGTAATGTTGGTTGCATAAGCGTCGAACTCCAGCAGTGCGTTGAATTTACTGAGAACTTTCATAAATTATTCTAACATCCAAGTGGGCACTATTTGTTCTCCCTGTTTCGGAGTGCGTAACTTTAATAGCAATAGTTCAAATGTACTAATAATTTAGACAGATTAGCCATCTTTAAAATGTCTACCATTACTAAGAAGTGACACATCTGCAACATTTTTAAATTTCACAGGGCACTGGATGTATGCACGTTCGTTAAAGCCCTCATTTACAATTAAATAAAAAAGTTGTAGGTTATGTGATAGTTTACTCAGTACAAAATGTGCAAATCACTTGAATGAGTATTTTTTTTTTAAGATGTATAGTTGAATCCGGTAGTTAAGACTATAGGTTGTTCCAATAAAGCATTTATGTTCGTTTTAATTAAAATATGTTTAAGAGAAATAAAAAGGTTACTAGTGATCCTGTTATTGTCGGCGCGAGCTCTTACAGGGTCCATTAGCAAGTTGAGCACGTGCCCTCATTACCGCTGAGATCGATGTACGTAATGCTCAGCAAAGCTAAAGAAATGCTTTCAATTAATTAAAATTTCCATTGCGGCATGGAGTACATTGTATGAACGAAGTTGGTGTGCGTAACAAGATTGGTTACGACGCGCCAACAACTAGGGTGAGTCAATCGGAAAGATAAGTCACAAGAGTACATTTCCAGTAACTGTCTATAAAGTTAGGTATAGGGCGGTAATATTTTAGAGATGACATTATATCCAATTTGTTACAGGTTTTGGGTCTGTATCAGACAGGGAACGTCTAGTTCCGTGCGCGTCTCATATGTTACGTAGCAAGTATAGATTGTAAAAACTCCAATATTGTAGGAAATATATCATAGCAAAATTAATATATCAAGAGAGCCATTCGTCAGAACTATCACAACAATCGTTTGTTTTATGAACAGCAAAATAGACATAAATGTCAATATAGGGCCCGTTTTCCACCTTACCCCAAATATTTGCGCTTAATTTATCATCTGGATACAGATTGAGAGATAAAAACTGGTGGAGCGGTAAATCCCATTCGGTGTGATGATATTCATAGCTTTGTTACCCTTTGCTTGGGTTTGACTCATCTATTAACTTTGTTACAGCTGGAAGGAGTCGATCTGCGGCGGGGGTGGCGATGGATATTTTCGAGCAACATCAAGGCACGCACATACTTCAGGTGAGGATTCCACGAAATCTTCGTGCCGCATTATTTATACATGTATTTGTCAAAGAATATCTTCCAAATGGCATAAAGTCTCAAAGCGTTGTGGGACAAGTTACTTATTCCTGTCATGTCTTGACGGTCATTCTTTATACACCGAAGGGATCAGACTTCAGTCGGGGAAAATTGGGTGGAAGGAAGTAAAAGGCTTGACGAAACGAACGGTATTAGATCAGCAGTCTTCTGTAATATACGACACGTATAATAAAAGTCACTTCGTATGACTCATCTCTCATATATTGAATTAGTTTTTGGCGATAGTACAATGCGAATCGCTAACCGCTTAGCGCTCCTGACTGAATTCTAACTAGTCGTTTATTAATCTGCTAAAACGGATTTCCTTCTTTTTTTTTCAGTCTTTGGATGGATTTGCGTTGGCTTTGGCAGCGGACGGTAGATTTTTGTACATTTCGGAGACCGTCTCGATATACCTCGGTCTTTCTCAGGTAAGTGAGGATTAAACAGATACGGTCATGTAACATTTGTCGAACTAAAAGTAACTCGCGACAGTCGACACTATGCGCCTGTTTCTCGCTATATTCTATCCGCCACCCGCGGCCGACCGCCCCGTTGGCGAATGCTCCTCACGTAGTCCTCTGCAGCAGCGTGCCTGCCATTCATAATAGGACTGGCGGGTTCCACAATCAATAGGGTATTTGCAACTGCGGGAACATGGCAGACCTTAGAAGAACACGTACACGTTATCACCTATACTCGCTTCGGACAAACATCTTTATCCTTCGACTGCCTCAAATCACCCATTTGACAAAATAACGCGATACCCTCTAAACAACACCTTCTAATTCAATCTCGACAATGCGAGTTCTGGCAATAATACATGCCGCTGCTGTCTTTAGGTGGAAATGACCGGCAGCAGCGTCTTCGATTACATCCACCACTTGGATCATTCCGAAATGGCCGAACAGCTGGGCCTGGGACTCGCCCAAGGGCAGAATTTGGCCTCGCCCGGGAGCGGTTCCGAAGAAAGCGCCTCCACAGCAGGTACCAATAATCCAGACGGTAAGACAAGTTTCATTCGGCGCCACTTCCCTGAGTTTGGAGGATTTTGCAATAAAATTGGAATTGACTTGGTGACTTTTGAGTCGATGCAAAAGTTCGATGCAATCGTATGATTCCGACAGGAAATGGTGGTTAAGCATGCAGAGGCTGCCTCATGTACGTGGTCAATTGTTATTCTGTAGTGGTGTTATGTGTCACGCCCAGGAATGTTGCGGCAGCCTGTGTATACCACTGGATTTCATTCAATTGCTTGACTGGACACTCTAATAATCAACTATAACGTAAATCTAGCCGAATTGTTATCAATTTCACCAAAATATTTCAAAATTGTTTGCTCCAAACGCAGTGCACACTTTCGTCAAGACGAGTGTTTCGTTGCAGTTTCGACGGTCATGTCAATCGGTACGAACCCTCCCTTCAAAGGCTTAGATCGGGCTTTCTGCGTCAGGATGAAGTCGACGCTAACCAAAAGGGGCTGCCACTTCAAATCGTCGGGATATAGGGTATAAGTCACATTCCGAACTAACATCGTTGTCTGACGATCTCCTTCCAGGTCGTCTTGATGTTGTGTCGGCTGCGACCGCAGTATACGTTCTCTCATTCTCGAAAATCACAGCCGCCGCTCCTAGGAATGGTCGCTTTAGCCATCGCACTACCGCCTCCCAGCGTACACGAAATTCGATTAGAATCTGACATGTTTGTAACTAGAATCAACTTCGACTTTAGAATAGCACACTGCGAACCGAAAGTTTCCGATATGTTAGACTACACCGCTGAGGAATTAACCGGTAGAAATTTATATACCCTGTGCCATGGTGAAGATGCCAATAAATTAAGAAAATGTCATATCGACTGTAAGCTAACACTAACATCCGTTCTATTACGGCACCCCTTCATTTAATTTCTTCTTTCCATTATTCCAGTGATACACAAAGGACAAGTGTTAACCCATTATTACCGACTAATGAACAAAAGCGGGGGATACACATGGATGCAGACGTGCGCTACAGTAGTATGCAATTCAAAAAACGCAGACGAACAAAATATTATTTGTGTAAATTATGTAATAAGGTAAGGACTCGCAAAATCACCCCTACGATCGATAACGCTAGCCTAAAACTGAACTTTCTCGAATCCTGATCCCAGTTTCTTCGTGGTGTGTTTGTCATTTTGTTGATTGTCATTCTTCAGAGCCACCACAAAGGGACCAGAAAAACTAATCGTAGATTTAGAATCAGCTTGTCCAAGTTTGTAAATTTCTATTCCTCTTCTTGATTTTCGATCGTAGACCAGTGTAATTCACAATCGCGGCCGAGGAAGGAATACCATGTCTAGAAGACACATGTCGATACCTTTGCGGCAGTGCCCTATCGTATCGACTGCGTGTAGTAGACTTGTTATCTTTACGGCCTCTGTTGTCGTCGTCGTTGACGTTATGTGTTTGTAGCGGTCGAGAATACGAAAACATGATCATGGACTGCTGTCAAATGGAGGACAATACTCACATGGTGAAGCGGGAGGAGGCCAGCAGTAACGACCCCGAGAACGGCTCGCCCGACGCCGATCGTGGAGGTACGTTAACGTACCACCAATGCTAGTTATACATTGTATTTGAATATAGTGTTAATCTGATTCTGTGGTAAGATGGCCGGAACAGCGGAGGCCCGCCCAACCCGCCCCAAGACGCCACGCAGAATCTGGAGGACGGCGCGAGCACGGCCCCCGGCGGCGGCACCGGCGGGGCCATCGAAGAGACGGGGGAGCTCCGCAGCCGGCGGCTGGAGCACGTCCCGGTGTCGCAGCTACAGAGCACGCCCGCAGACCATCAGAGGAAGCCGGTCTCGGCGCGGCGGCCCTCGAAGCGCAAGAACGCCTCGTCGGACGACGATGAAGAGGAGGAGCAGTCGCCGGCCCACAGGAACACGGCGATGAGCCCGGCCTCGTCGTGCCACTCGATGAGCGCGCACCCGGTCACGTCGGACTCCTCGGGCACCAGTCCGAAGAACCTGGAGGAGGGCGGGGGCGGCGGCACCTCGGTGAAGGACCTCGAGAACGCGATGTCGAAGCACCTGCCGTCGTGCAAGTCGCCGCCGCACCAGCCCACCGACTTCAGTACCGACGCGCTGCTCAAGCAGCAGCAGCGCACCACGATACAGTGGATCGGCGCCCACCACCAGCAGCTGCAGCAGCAGGGGCCGCTGCCCGCCTCCGCCCTCCTCCGGCAGCTCTACGCGAACAGGGAGAGCGTGATCCGGGCTAACGTTCACGGTATTACGAGTTCGACGAGTCGCTCGAGCAGTTCGACCGGGTACTACCCGGGGGACGGACAAGTGGGCGTGGGCCCTCTGCCCACTCCTCCCGGCAGTGAGGGCTCGTCTTCGTACAGTGAACACCAATTTCTTTTGTCGCAACACCAAAACTACCCGACTAGTTACTCGATGGACTATCACTCAGCAATGACGCCTCCGTCCAGCGTTTCTCCGCGTGACAAACATCAGCAGTTGCACGGAGGGGTTCCTTTCGACACTCCTGTGCCGTACCAAGACGTACTACGTCATCAGTACCCGGATAGTCCGCTGCCCCTCAAACCGCAGGTCTACTCGTACGTGGAACAGCCCCAGTTTTACCACCACGGCGCGGCTAGCGCCGGATTCCATCTATACCACCCCGGGAAGAGTACCCCCGCCGCTCCCGCCAACTGGTACTCCCCTTCATAGTGTAAATACGGACTCGCAGTGAATTTGACTATGTTCCTTATATAATTTATGTGAACGATTTATAATTGTTAATACTAATGTGGTACTATTATTTTTACTGCTAGTGTAATATTAGTACTGTTATTGTATTTTTTAAATGCAAACAAATATGAAATGTAGTCGGCAAATTAACGAAAGTGCTCGTTTAACTATTTTTAAACCAAAGAAAATAATATAAAATGACATGATCCAGTTCTGTTCGAAACGCAAACCGAATCTAACACTCTAACATATCAAATATGTTAAGACTTTTTAGTTTCACTATATTATTTTTTCTACTTTCATCATGTTATTTCGTATTATTTACCATCTACAGTGTCATTGTCACAATTGTTTTGTGAATTTATTTATTAAGATTTATTATATCGGAGTTCCGTAACCGTACTTTTTGCCGCATTAAAATTAACACAACTTAAAGATTAATAATGTGTCTACAAAATAAAATGACTCCTATATAGTAAATGTGTTGTATAATTTGAGAATGCTGATGGTACAGCATACCAACTGGTATATTATACTATGTACATAATTTTTAGATAGCTGTATGTATATTACTCTTTTGTTGGGCATTGGTGACAGTATTTTGGGCTATTTACATTGAAAAGAAACACTTACTCTTAAACGAGGCAAAACAGATCATATCTACATTCCAATTTTTGATCACGAAATAATCAAATTTCTGAAGATGTGAGTGTTTAAAAACAATGCATTAATATTTACGATCACGAAAAGGTGCTGACAATGTAGGAATGTGATATTCTCTTTAATTTGTTAATTTTTCTTGTTCCAGATGTTAGAATTAGTTGTGTTATGTTGTCACATGGTGTTCAGTACAAATTTAATATGTGAATTAATATGAGAGCTTCATGGATATGTAGCAACATATTTATGTGCAATATATACTTAATTCAAATTTTGTTTAATAAATTACCTTCACAATTTAGTTAAATGTGTAATTTGTGACTGCTCAAATTTGTTTTATATTTTTTATTTTCTCAATAAATTCTAGCCATTTTGTTTCTACGAACCAAATTTTGTATTTTCATTTAATTCAAAGTTAGTAGTGACGAAATACCCATGTATGTAAAGGTCAAAATCCATTAACCCGTTGTTAGCTTACGTAGTAATAATTAAAAATTCTACCTCGACACTTATTGTTCACACTTTCACCTTACATTTTCATCACAACGGCACCGTAACTTTCATTGTGCCAGACACAAATCTTGTCAACATTATATTTTCTCGCAATAAATCACATACATCACGAAACTTTTATTTTAGTGAAAAAAACGTATCAAAACTCTTTATTTTGTCATTGTTTACATATAAAAATGTCACCATGTGAAAGGTGCCCTCTCTCTTAATATTCGCACTCCGTATTTTTCCCACTCGGAGGCTAAAATCCACAACTCGTGTGCCGTCTCTAAACACGACATTATGCAGGCACCCTTCCAAGCCACCATAGCCGGATCCATATCTCTCGGATTCGTTATAATATCCAACTGTTCTGAAAAACAAAACCAAAAAATGAAACCATCACGAGTACTAAATTTTCTTGTACCTGCTCTATATAAATACGGTATTTGCAAAGAAATCCTATTCTGAAGCCAAGTACCTATCCCCGAGAATTTCATCCCTCCCCCCACGATTAGAATACACCCGTACATCTTCCGCTTCAAGTCCTCGTTAGCTAAAAACGACCATAATACACCCACACATCGTGACGCAACAACTTACGACATCTATCGATGCTCTGGAGAACCGCCTGGTCCAACCCGAGAATCTGTCCAGGTGCGATAACGAATTCTTTGTCGCAACTTGGCGCGACGGTATCTATAGCATCAACCACAACGTCGTCTTCATTTGTAGGATTCTGCGATTGTTCCAAGTATGGCTCGCTCAACAAATCCGCTGAAGCTTGTTCCATATTGTCCTTCATCCCTTTTCGCTGTCAAATTATAAATACTCTGGTTTTTGATATTTCGAGGTTATGTAAGGACTTTTTATACCACCGTTCGCTTATCTGTTCTTACGTGAGGAAAAATAAAGCGAAAAGCAATATGCGCAACTGTTACTTACTCTAATCTCTCTTAAGTAATTCTCGTCGTGGGAATCCTCGGGGTCTCCAGTTGAACCTTTCTGGGTTCGGATTGTTTTGGGTCCCGTGATACCAAATAGTTCAGGACTGAACATACTAAGCGGCGCCACTATACACTCATCGCCGACTTGGATTGTGTATTTTAATATAGGTTTACCCGGATGTTTCAAAATGAGTGTTTTTTCTTGCGAACCGCAAATATCCTAGAACGTCGAGTGATAAATCGCTCAGTTAGTAGTTTTAATTAATTGTCTCGTACCAGATTAACATGACAAAAGTCTTCCTTCAGCTTTCGCAACAACATCGTGTCTAATTTATTTTGATCGCTACATTCTTTATAAGGGAAAGCGCACTTTTGCAACAGCCAATAAAATATCTGGGTAATGTCGCCACCTCCGTATTCTAACCTAACCTGTTTAGGGTTTAAGAACAAAGAATAAGTGATACAAGGCGCACATAAACAACAAAACTTATCAAAGTGTGAATTGTTTTTCTGAATGGTTACACAACCGCACGAGTCATAAAATACGTACTTCATGACAGATCATCCAAAGTGAACACAAGCACAAAACACAATTTCCAATCTCATTTTTTGAAATTTTTAAATAACATTTACGACGAATTCTTGTCCAAACACTAGTGCCAAAGTTCACGAAACGGTTTCATATAACCTCACAATTTATTTATTATCTTATGACATAATTTACGTCACGATTTGTCAATTTCATAGCCGCCCGCGATTTTATTAGTCAAATTTAGATGGTTTAATTATTTTGCCAGTTAACATACCCTTGTATTTGGATGACAAATACCATCTTCAACACACGATACTGAGGTTTTCTGGTCACCCACATCCACCACGCATGCGTAACTTAATCCAGAACCAAAAGTAGCGGCCACATGGTCCTTAAAAACACTAATCAAACATGAAACATTCATTCATATTGCAACAAATACTTGAACAAGAAAACAGCTACCAAACCCCATTCTACACAACAACATATACATGAGTTCCCTCAAATACGTCCTATTGTAAACATCCGGTATTATAAGTACGGCTTTATGATGCTTGAAATCTTTTCTATCAATTTGAAAATGAGTTTCTAAAACATGTGTCCAGATCGTTTCTAAATCTACTAATACTGCAGTCATGGAGCCCCCAGGTCCTGGATGAATATTAAAATCGCCCCTTTTAAACGGAAAGTGAATATTAAAATTCTCTTTAGGGTCCAGTTTCAAAATCTACAAAACTCATTACAGAGGAATATCGCTACAATTGTTTTTATATTACGTCATTTCCTATAACTACATCTCCTTCACATTTCAACCAGTCGCCCCCACTGGGTCCTATTACTTCTGGCGTCGCTCTTCTATTAAAAGCCGCGATTTGTTGAGGGGGCGTTGCATACCGTCTTCGGCCGTCTGACTGCAAGCATGACTGCAAAGTATGAGAAACCGAGAGTCTGGCGTCTTCAAATTCCTGTGGTTGACTCTAGAATAATTAATTGTATTTCTACACCACAGTTGGGTTAAAATTCTCTACCAAATCCACTCGAGCGGGTAAAAACGCATCTCTATACTGATATTTCTTATTCAAACACCTTCTAGCTATCGCATGCAAAATTGTTAGCGGATTTAAGTCAGAAGCTCGCCCAATTCTCAGGTTCAATGATCCTGGATGTATAACGATGATAGTTTTCGATTGCAAGTGCTTCAACAATTCATTATTTTCCACTGAATGTAAATACAAACCTGTTTACCTCTGGAGGCGTTTCAGAATACGCAGGCATCATTCAATTAATTTTATTTCTTTAAAAATACAAAATTATAACCTCACTTTTTCATGACGAAATAAGTTGTGTTTATAATTGTCTGAACACATCACATTGTTATCCAATACGTGACTTAAATTGACTATTGTTTTAATGAATGGTTAAATATTACACACATCTTCAACTGAAGGCACTAAATTACAAAATCGATGTGTTAAACACGGACCTGTATCAACAAATAGCTGATTGGTGGACGAGCATGGTAGCAATTTGTGATTGGTTCAAAAAGCGAGATATGGGCGCGCGTTTTAAATATGAATTTTAGCAACAATTACTATTTATGTGGAATGAAATAGTGACACGAAAGTAAGTTAATTGTAAATTAAGTAGTAGCAGTGCGTGAGTCATATTTATATTTCTTATTAAATACCGCTAGAAAAGACCAAGAATTAAAATGTAGTACGGTTTTACTGGTTGCCTAACCTCTGATAACCGACACTCATTTATTTATGTTCAGTGGCGTATCGTCACAAAAATGCACTAATAGTTAGCAACTATGATACTAAGAAATGTTACAAATGTATAATGTATAGTAGTTCAACTTCCCACTCTTAAACAAAAACCAAAATATAGTTTCGATTCTCTCTTTCCTGCCTCTTTGGATAGATGGCGCCGTTAAAATAAATCTGACAAATTAATAAATCTGGTGCATACATTTATTAGTTTATTTACAAAATTAACGCACATTAAACCCAAAAATTAAAATAGAGTTTCATATCACGTATAATTTACAATTTTTTTTAGAAAAAACGAGAAAAGTTAACATCATTATGACAAGGCAGTTATTTATTCAAGTAAAGTTTAAAGTTGCAATCTCTTGATGACTATGACATTAAATATCATAATTCAAAATATAAATGTTGTTCACACATTGCTCAGAGCAGTTTCGTCATATATATCACGATTTTATTTAATTTTTGTTTCATTATTTCTATTCTAAGTGGTGATAAAATCGGAAATAAAATCTGTTATCTCCATTTTATTGTAGGTAAACCCGGCCTAACTTAAGACACAGCTTTGTATTTTGTAATCCACACTCAACAGTCTTTAATAAACAAGTAAACACGACTTAAATGAGAAATAAAAAGTAATGGGAATTATGCTGAGCAACGAAAGTAAAAATACATTATTTTCCACAGAATGCTAAGCTATTAAATTGTAATAACCTTTGTAGTGAATCAGCACTGAATATAAATCAAACGTTCCGCCTCATCCACACAAAAGAAGGTAAAAATTTATTTTTAAAATTGCGAGAAGCGCGTCGTTAACGACCTAATAAAACTCACGGTGGTAACGGGATTGCTGTAAAAATACATTTAGCTATTTTCAAGTGAACTTTAAGTTAAATATTTGTTTCAGAGGTATTTTAGTTGAAAATAATTGATAGCGATTTATTTTTCAACTAAAAGCAGGCGAAAAAGTCGTTCTATTTCTTCAATTCCGCCGGAAATAGTGCGAATTTTTGGAATTTAAATAACAGTACGACCCTATCACCATATATAGAAATCGAAAGGAGATGTTTTCAGTTGCGATATAGTTAAAATTAATATCGTGGGTTTATTTATACAACGTTTCAGAACGAACCATTGTTTCGTTTATATTTCTAAGCACAATAATACGTAATCTTAATGTGTAGTATGTAGAACGGTTTGGATTTTCATATTTTCATAGCCGCTACATAGAAAGTCAAAAGTTGACGACAAATCTATAAGTTCTAATTATTTTCTAATGGATTTATGCGGAATAATGACAGTAGTAACAATAAATACTACGTTTTAACTTATCGCCGAATGTGAAAGTACCGCATTTCATGTACCTACATACTTACATATTCAAAACAACAGACATGTAAATTAATTATAAGATATATTTCCATAACGGCAGTTAGACAAGCGTTTCGCGGTTGCTTAACAATACGTGTTAAAATAATGGATTTTGGCACGATCCAGTCGATAAATACCAAAACAAAAAGCAAATTTGCGTACATTTTACTGTATGATCATATCAAATAAGTCAGTTCACGGTTACAGGTTTTGTACTTATGTTATACTCCTTATTTCATCCAACTGGTTTGTTTTTTTTTAATCCCACGTTCATTTCGCGACAGCCAACACATGGCTCGTTTATTAACCATATTGTTTGAAATTCTTTGTTTTCGACGTTTTCCTCAAACACGAAATTTTCTCTCGTCGCTCAAAAATCAACATTGGATAATGACTCATGTAGCAATGAAGATTTACTCAGCAAATTGTAAGAATTGTAGGTAATGTACGTAGGCGACCTTCTTTTCCTGACCTCGGACTGATCTGTTTTGTTTTTGTTAATTTTAATCGACACGAGAATATTTTCTATTTCACGCCCCACACTTCCAAGAAGTATGGTGCCTATTTCGGTGCGCATCATCTAGTAGGAAATTTCTCTAGATTTTGGATTGCATAATTGCGATGCGGAGTCTAAAGTCGGTTTGATCGAAATAAGCACGGTATCTGTTTTACTATCTTAAAATAAAACTCGTCACATTTATAGATTTAAGATAAATGATTAAATCTTAAACATGATACCGAGCTGTGTTGCAAAATTATAGGCGCATTTATAAAAGTGAGTAGACTTTTACCTTTAATCTTTATCCTTACACTGGTCACTGTTCTCTGCGCTCGTGAATCAACTAACCCCTATTAATTTTTTTAATGCATGTAGATAACATTAATTATGACACATACAATGATTGTGTCTAATTATCATAATTAACAACACAGAAACGATCGACCCTATAGATGTTTTGCGACCAACAGTTGTTCAACATTTATTCACCATCTAGGATGTCTACAATACTCGGCTTCTTATTTTTCTATGATTCCATGAAGCTTTCTAATTCTATGAGTAAATTTTCAGACCGTTTAATGTCGGATTCTTGTTACAGAAGTTGAAATTAGTGCAGAGATTAATTTTCAGAAAAACGAGAGTCCATTAAAGCGTTTTTCAAATTTAATGGAAGATAACTCCAGAACGGTTTAGGACTCCACCTTGCAGTTTACACTCCCTATATTTTATAACGCTTAATGTTTGTAGTTTTTCCTAAACTCTTAAAAATACGTAAATATTTCCAATGATTAACAACAAATGTAGTAGTTTAATGATGTATTTTTAATAAAAATACTAAAAACCTGCAAAAACAATGTTACCTGATGAGGTTCTTGTTCAAAATTGAACAATTTTTTTAATTAAAATTAAAAATTCATTATCATTAATTAATTGCAGTATTTTAAATATTGGTATATCGTAGATACCAAAATGGGTGTACAATGTACACCGCATACTTAGTTATATATTTATTATATTATAGTGCTTGTTAATATTTTGTGTAATGATAGTAATAATAGTGTAATGAGGCTCGAGCAATAACAAGATCAATCGAAAATTCTTTTTTTTGTAGGTGCAGGTGTGCGCGTAGCGCACTCTAAAAAATCCCGGGGCAGGTAATAAATTTGCCGGGCGATTTATCCGCGCCGCGCGTCCGTACGATTTGAAGAATTTTTTTATAAAATCTCAAGCTAATCTAATCACGAGACCGCTTTTCTCTCGAAAGCTGCACCGCCATAAGATGGAGTTGCGCAGAGATCGGATAGGCCAAGCCGGGACCGAGAACAGTTCTTTAGAACAGTTCATAACACACTCCATGCAATCGAATACCGTTCATGCAATGAACCCAAACGTTTCGCTTCACAGAAAGGCAACACAGTGTTTATACCCAAACAACCTAGCCAAGGTCGTTCAATAAATTTATTTATTTGTGGGCATCTATGCCGCGTTTTCGTTAAAGTTAAAGTATTTTCGGGTCGACAATTCGATCAGTGAGTGCGATTTGTGTTTAAAATGGACATTTTTAGTGATATTTGCAGATTTATAAACAGATTTTTGATGTGATGGAAAGTTGGACGATGTTTTGCCGCTCTCCCCTCTGTACTGACCTGTCTACTCGGCTATGTTCATAGAAAATCACACTTGTAAGTCCTTTTTAAACACTTAAGTGGGTTTTCTTTAATCTAGTTTGGCGTGGACTTAATTTATGATTAGGCCGCCGAAGCACAACTGTGTTGTTCAACTTGTTGCTATTATCCCGGCGGATTGACCAATGGCTAATGTTTATTCATTGAAAATTGCGATACTTAAGTCAAAAGTGCTTTTTACTCAAAAAGTGACTTAATTCGTCGCGTTACTTTGTAGTGTCACTTTTTTACTTCTTGTATAAGCATAGATGAGTATAGCGGTATCTAAATTCCAACATTCCCTATAAAGCGATTTATGCCGTAATTCATTTTTTTTTCTTTTTGGATTTGTGGCAATTCCTCAGGCTAATTTATCGCTGGGATGACAACGCAAAATTTTTTTCTTCAGATGATCCACTTGCAAATGTAGGCAAATTGAGGACCCCAGCGGCAATGAACTTTTCGTTTCCTAGTCAAAAAATAAACAAAACGAAGATTTTAAAATTTAAATAGACCACAAGGTCACTCTAGAAAATACTAGCTGAAAAGTGGGTACACGAAACAAGTTTGCCACAAAACGAATTTTAATTTTAAAGTTGCGTGACGATAATAACAACTAAAGCCACATTAACTCAGAAAAATACGCCGGTGATAATGAGCCCGACTCGAAAAACACAAAATCATGTATATGATACAGCGCGTTTTGCGTTATCTTATATAACGTGTCGTCGCTATCACTAAATCTAAATTAAATTTACACCGAGAATTTATATGTAGCACAAAAAATGTAAGTACAACAATAAGGCGTTAACGAGCCGTTGCGCCATTAGCGAGACGCGGTCTTATCCTCCAGAATTGCACTTTACGAGGGGTTACTCAAGGCGCACCTTTAGGACCATTATTGTTCGCTTGTTATCCGCAGACGGCATGGCAACTCGTATGAGTTAAGATAAGGCGTTTGTAACAAATAGGTGCTATTATCACGTCCGCAGTATGCGTGGCGACGCGTTATACAATCAAAATTGATTTTTCGACCTACCAATTTGGGGGCGTAAATAATACAGGCGCTTTTCTGGTCCCTGTCAGTATCCTCTTTTCCCAGTTTTAAATTTTTGATTATGGTGCGACGGTGTTGCGGACAATTCAATAAGTAATGGGTGTCAATCAAAGTAATTGCCAAACAAGCAGAGAGATTTTCAAGTTATTGTTACGACACATTTTGAGTTTTGAACTTAAATATTAAGACATTCACTGTAAAATGTGTTATTAGCGCAGTCATCTTTATGTATGGTCGCAGTAGGACATCACTCTATAGGAATATTTTAATAAAATAAAAGACACGCATGTATGCTATGTGAAATTATATACTCGTTTCCTAGTGACTGACCACGTCAAGAGTTTATTAAAACCAAATTGATATTGATACAATCTCGTTAAAATACATTACGAGCGATCAGCTGGCTGCACGTAGTCTCTCCAACTCCTTGACCATTTGAAATTTTTCTTCGTTCGTTGTCAGTCGCTGATAATAAGTTATTAATTTGCAGATGTTCACTTCAAAGTAAGTCGTTATCTTGTTTTCAACGTTTGCCCTTCCACTGTATTTACAATCAACGTTTCCGTGTTCTTTTGATTCCAAACCGACTCGCAGCAAACTTTCTTCAAAACCAACAAAGTAATACGGCCTTCATTCCAATGATTGATTATGACAGCGCATTTTATCAGTCGAACTTCTAGACGGAGTAGGCCCTGATCTATTTAACCGCGGAATTTTTCAAAATCAAACCCAACAAAGACAAATGCGCTTTTAATGGTTCAAATCAGTTTACACGAGTGTTTGCGTGAGTAATTGTTACAACACATCATTCAATAGAAATATCTGCCTTCAATAAAGAGTTAATTGCGTATTGCTGAGAAGTCAATGCATTAAGTATTCCCTGGGTCAGAAGGTCGTAGTCTCCTCGTACAGATAATCCATTTTCACACCACAAAAATCGACTTTTCGCTTCTCAACCAAACATATGTTTATGCCGTCAACCATACAAGTCGTTCGAAAAGTTAACAAGTGAAGTGTCTGCTTAATTTATTCGCGTTGACAGCCGTTTCAAAATTGGGACGCTTAAGTGCATTTAAAGTGTAATTTTATATGTCTGGGGCAAAGTTAATGTGCCAAGTACCTCGCGCTGACAGTCACGAAAGCCTTGTATACATTATCGGGGTTGAACACTCCCCGAGTCCCACAAGGCTCACCTGCTGGACCTTTGCCATAAACTTAATTGAGTCGAATCCTGTTAATTCTTCTGCGTTTCGTGGATTTTCTGAGACGCAGAACCGTCGAGGACACCGGAGTAAACAATTCCAAAAGCAAACGTTAATTAAGATGCCTAAATCGGCGAGCTTTTCATTGGTAATGAGCTGTAAAATTAGACACGAGAAGCTTAATACGGATTTTTCGTAAATTTGATGTTATCGTTGTTTACGTTGTTGTTAATGGTAATGTTTTCAATTTTTCGCCCAGTAATTCGCTGCTTTACAAATTTGAGATCGCTATCTACACACTCAATTAATTCGCCACAAAAACAATTTCAAGCGTCATAATCAAATAGCCGGTTAGAATCTGGCAAAAACAGGACGTTGTAATTAGCGTAATTAGTTGATTAATGTGGAGCATGAATTGTTTGCGTTTTTGTACCAAGTAGAGTATATTTGTTTACTCAGAATTGCCAAAAAACTATATAGATATATGTGATCATTATTAAATAAACGAATTACCACTATATCTTGTTTGATCAAATGAAGAAACCATGTCTGGATTTGATGACATACAAATTACGTCATGTTCTCTAATAATAAATAAATATTTTAGTAGATGAGAAACCTATTTCAGCCTCGAACAGAAGGCAATCAGTAGAACGACCACTGGAATTATTAAATAGCAACGGTAGCTCTTTATCGAATTAGCCAGTTTATCTAATTAAATTATTTTGTGTTGCCAACTTGAAGACACGACTTGCCAACGGTAGTTCAAATCATTTCATGTGATAGCAACCGACTTTCAAAATTCCCCATTGTAACCGTGCCTGTTGCAAGAAACAAGTGCCCGTCAACCGTCTGTTCTTGTTAACTTAACTGTGTAAACGAGGTTTTTGGTAATATTGGTGACGTCACTGAGGTGTCAAAGGTAGTGCGACCGCTCAAAACACACAAACCACGTTTGTAAATGACACACAAAAGTACCACTGAAAGTTTGACAACACTACGTTTGACATTTTAATGACACTATTGACGTTCGTAAACTGTCAAGCCTTCGTTTCGAATATTTACGAAGGGCACCCTTTTAGTGTGCTCATAAACAATGATTTTCGACATTTTGACGTTATTGTGACAGCTTTGAGAGACTACATGACAAGTAATGCTGCCAACACCACCTACTTCAAATTCCGGAATGGGTTGCAATTCAAATTTTCTAGAGTAAATTTTATTGCGGATTTATCGTCTTCGTAACTTAGAACTGCCATAAATAACCCTTGAAACGAGTTCTTGGCGGAAGCATCAGTTTTTCGGTGCTCATCAATGAAGGTTTTAAATTCATTGTGCGAGGAATAAAATGCAGCCAAGAACCGTCGTCGAAATTCTGTCCACTATAATGCCTTCCGCAACGCCCAAGTACAATTAAAATCGCTAAAAAAGGCCGGTTCTTCCTGGAGTGGCGTGTAGTAAAGCTAATAAATCTGACGGCGGGTATGGTACTTTGCCAATTTGAATTCCACCAATACCAAGGTTAAGTAATGAAGGTTTTACGTTGTCTTTTTTTATAATCGACCCTGTGCAAGAATCGTATTCTTGCTACCGTCCGCATTGTATCCTTGCACCCACTTATTGTTTGTCAGAAAAACGAGCAAAAAGGAAACGAGTAAATGCAGGTTAAAGCGAACAACTGTTCTTTGTGTTTCCTTGGATTTTTTACAAGTTTTGAGACAAAGACAAGCCGATGCTATTTGCATAGTCACACTCATCTCTTGCAAAGTAAAGAGCGCACCCATCTCTACTTTTACTAGTTTTTGTTACATATAAATTAGACAACCTTGCCAAGGAAATCGTAATGGTGACTCGGTTGCATTTACGGCCGTTTTTATGTATACAATCAAATACACATTACCTCGTGGCGTACAAATTGCTTTAATAGTCGTACATGCACCAAAGCGGAGGTATATTAAGATCAAATTAATTTAGCACCTTTCAGCGAGATTATTACGGCATAAATTATTTTCAGTCGATAATGCACAATTAGGTGTAGACGCAACCACGTTCGTGCAGAGAAACGCGACCGGTGTAGTACCAGGAAATGCGATCCGCGCTTAAAATCCAGCTATAGTGTTGTAATTAAGCGACGGCACAAAGGCTCTTTTGTGGTGCACTTGGGTGGTTAAATTAGGATCTGGGTAGGCATTGTAAAATTCTACAACTATAGACGACGATTCGAATCCGGAAGGTCTGGCCAATTAGTTTTGGTTTTTTCGACAACCGCACTGTCGGTTCCCAAAAAACAAATTCGTAGTAATCGATAAATAAACATCGCCCACTTCGTACGAAAGAAACAAGATTACTTTTATGGAAAACAACGTTATGTAAATTTGACGATATTTCTTAATGGAAGTATACGTTTCGAAACGAATCCGTCCTGAAACTCGATATTTTCTCCAGAGGTGTCGTCGGGACCAAAGCGCTTTCCAAACGGACGCCTATGTTATGTTATAAGTTATAAGTTATAAGTTATAATGGTGCCGACATGATCACTATAATCTGTTTACCTATTCGCACGCTCATCAAGGAACTTACAATCACGTTTCAACTTATTCCTGGGGCACTGTTGCGTATGACGTAAGTTCGCGATTGTTTCCCCCACGAATGATATAATAATTATAAATATTAGTTACTACTATAAATTAAAGTAAGTATGTCGAAATGATATGCACGAGGCGCCTATGCTGATTTTGTAATCCACCTTGGACAGCCGTTTTTGGATCAGGCGCTTATTTATACACCCGTGAAGATTATACAGGTACTTGCCTTTACGGATTTAAACTCCGCCGAGATATATTAAAATTATTGACGACGTACGGTCACGTACATTTTAACAACAAATGCAAATTTTCAGAAACGTATTGAGGTCGATACACCCAAAAAAAGCGCGTGGGAAGCACAGGTAGCAAATTATTTAATATCTCCGATAATATCCTTATTCTATCCATTTATTTATTACACGCGATTATGCTTATCTTCTCCGCGTCCTCGATTTTTATTTAAAAAGGTCGAACTTAACACCATCCAATAAGTATGATTGTGTAAATCGGCGATCATCAGATAACATTATTGCCAAAATGGATTACATCAAGATAACAAAATTATCTTCAATTAATTTGTTTGTTTTTAAAGCGAAATACGTGATCTCTTGCTCGTAACGTTTATGACTTTTATGCAGATTTCCTCGCCGTTGCAAATAATGTCGAAATGAGATAAGATCACCACATTCGTGCTAAAACGGAGACAATCTGACCAACACTTGAAAATTTTTAAAACTAAGAACGATTTTGTCGGTCCGAATTTCTGCTTATTTGTTTTCGTGATTTAATTTTTTCTCTTCCGCGAATTGAGATTTGTGAAACCACACGGTAATTAGTTGTGATTTTCTCTGTTCTAGGAACATATTTAACAAAAGTTGATTGCTTGTAACAGTTGTCAAGAAACGAAATAAAAAAACGTGAGTCACGCACCAATCAAAAATTAATACACCTAATTATATATTTGAGTATATAAAATTATAACTGGCATTCTAAAATTACAAACCGCTATCAACAAAAAACGGCAGTTTTAATCATTCTGTCATATTACTAATGTTCAAGTCGGCTCTAAATTTTCAATTATTAAAATCCGACGTCCAATATTTCACGAAAGAGAAAACTGGAGGACGTGATGCTGGAAAGATTGTCGTATTTGCTTAACGAGCCAAAAGTACACCTGTACAGTACACAAATCAAGAGAGTGATTTTTATCAAGCAGAGAGTATACACATGAGACTAGTCCACGCGATAAGAAATTTGTGCTTTATTGACAATACTCTAATCCTCCACACGTTTCGTAACGCTGATTGTCACTTTACAATACATCAAACCTAAAACCACCAGCATTTAATTTATAGTAATGCCACATAAATAATACCAACAAAATTTCAAAATCGTACCACGTTGAGAAATCGTGTCCAATTTCAAGTGCAAGGGTGTCTTCGGTACCTACAACTGACGTAGCACGCAAACAAACGTACGTACGGCTAAACCAAATATTTTCTTACTGCAGCGACTGTTAAGTTTTGTCGACTCCAAATACACTTTATCCTTGAAGCTTTGTTCGCCAAGTGTACAAAATACTCATAAAATGGTCAATAAATATTTGCGTCCTGCAAAGCAAAAGCGCATTGTTACTAAATTACTAGTTTCTCGTCACGTACAATTTGTATTTTTTTTCCAGAGTATGCGCAAGAATGGTGCCATATGGAATTTTTACATTTTTATTTTGTCTATGTCTTCTGGTAACACTGACCACACCGGTGGAACATGACTCCAGATACATCTCGTTTCAAGGTAAGTGTTGAACCTCCGGAAGGTGCAAAAAACAGTGTTGTAAAACTCGGAAAATCTAAATACTGATAAAATAAAGAAAACGTACGGAACTGTAAATAGAACACTTTAAGTTTATTTCCAACGCTTATAATTTGTTTATTTTCTGATAACAATTAATCCTGAACAGGTAAGAGTTATAAATGTTTACTCGAGAAAAACACGGTTTGTTTAGTTGCCACATTTAAAAAATATTTGTACATTACAAATGCACCATGTTCCTGTTTTTCGAAAAGCCTCATGAATACAATAAATCATCGTTATCAGATATTAGAAACGACGGTTAAATGTTTAAAACGGTCGTTACAACATTACTTCCTTATTAACATTAAGATTGTAAAAATTACACAAGCTTACTTCCTTTTAGATTTACAACAATCGCTAAAGCAGTTTTCACAAGATGAAGTGATTTCGTACTCGCAAATGCTATTTGATGTGGCAAGGAATCAAGTGTTAGTGGGAGCTAGGTAAGCCAATAGGAGTTCCGACTTACTTACATTGAGTACAAGTGTTACCAAAATTCCTCAAGCTATTAACTTTCCTTCCATTCGTTCTATCAAAAATTTATCGTATGGTAACAATATAATGAATTCCGAGTCTTGTAATTAGGTCTTTGCTAACGACTGTTTGAAGCCATGAATCAATATAATGAACACCAATTCAATATATCGATTCTCTGTTAATTGTTTGTAATCGGTAAATCAGTTAATCATTCCCAATCTAAATAATTAATCTGTTACTAAAAGTACAACAAAACAAAACGTGATCTGCCTGCCGGTCGTAGACGGTACGGTAGAACGTAAGCGGTAGTAAAATTTTGTATGCACAAAGAACGCGTTTACACTTTTCCGTCGCATGACATTCTAGTGATTTTAATAACTCATTTAATCGATAAACGATCTACGTTGGTTAATTAAACCCGATGCATAAATTGTTGGTTGTTTTTTCCTTGTAGATCTATCTGCACTCTGTATGTACTTTCGCAAACACAACAATATCAAATGTCTATAGTGATGCAAGCGATATCTCGGCTTCTTTAACTTTTTTCCTACGCCGGAAATGCAGATATCAGTCCTGTAAATAATTCCATGATAGTAGGTATCGATTGCGTGAGAAAACAAGAATCGGGTCTCAAATTTTCTTTTTTGCAAACGGAGTCGCTTTTGTTCCACAGTCACAATGAAACAATGTCGAATCTCCTGGAATTCTTAAAGCTAGCACTGTTTTATTCGTACGGTTAAACCGGCATGCATAATCAGTATAAATCTTGGGGTAATAAAATCCGTGAACCTGATGGATGATTGCTTGGAGGATCCATAAACACATAAAATTAATTTACTCTTGTAACTAATAACTCTTTACAACTTTTTAATTCGTCTTAGCCTTTTCATGACGAGCGGTTGTATTCTTTTATAGAGACGTCTTACTTCGGCTCTCTTTGAGGAACTTGGAGCTCTTAGAATCAGCAGAATGGCCTACATCGAACGAAAAGAGAACCCAATGCATAAATAAAGGCCAGTCGGACGAATTCTGTCACAACTACATCAAAATTCTACTAACTAATGGCAAATTGTTGTTTGCTTGTGGCACTAACGCGTTCTCGCCGCAGTGTTCCTATAGAAAAGTAAACATTCGCTCTACTTTTTTCTTTGTTTAATGTACACATTGCAGATCGAGAATGTGTCAGACGTGATCGAATGGGCCGACGGTTTAGCCAAATGCCCCTACAATCCCAACGCCAACATCACCGGTTTTATGTCAGAACAAGGAGAGTACTACTTCGGCGGCCCCACAGACTTCTCCAGTTCTGATTACGTTATTTCGAAAAACATAGAAGCCGACACTACCATACGAACCAAACAGTACAACAGCTTCTGGTTAAACGATCCGCAATTCGTCGGGTCGTTTGAAACTGAAAATTTTGTTTACTTTTTGTTCAGAGAAGCGGCTGTAGAATATATGAACTGCGGCAAGGTACTGTATATGGTTTTTGCCCCCAGGTGCGTAATGTTTTCTTTGCAGGTTATTTACTCGAGGATAGCAAGAGTGTGCAAGAACGATCCAGGAGGGCACACTATGTTGAAAGATAACTGGACCACTTTTCTCAAAGCGCGCCTTAACTGTTCCGTCAGCGGCGAGTATCCATTTTACTTCGACGAAATCCAAAGTATGTCGTACGTACCTGATGAAAACGTGGTGTACGCGACGTTTACGACCCCGAGTAACAGCATAGCGGGTTCTGCGATTTGTGCGTTTAATTTGTCCGCTATTGAAGCGGCTTTCGCTGGACCTTTCAAGTACCGAGAAAATATGGATAGTGCATGGGGTAAACATTCCATGCAACACCGTGATCATTTCAACTGCATGTCGTCCTCGCGGAGTAGTCATTTATTGGAGACCTCCAAGTACCAGTTGATGGATAGTGCAGTACAAGGTACCACCTTGAATCCGCTGCACATCGCGCACCTGGAAAGGTTCACCCATATAACCATAGATGTTTTACCGACTCGGTTGCACACCAAGGTCCATGTTATCTACGCCGCCACCACTCAAGGTCTGGTCAAGAAGATATCCGTGATCCCTCGGACGCAGGAGACTTGTGTGGTCGAAATCTGGCAGGTAGCACCCGACACGGCCGCCCCCATCCGTAGCATCCAATTCCTCAAAGCCACTAAATCCGTCTACGTGGCCACCGACCACTCCGTCATGAAAATCTCCGCCGACCATTGCAATCGCCACACCTCGCGCAAGAGCTGCCTCAACGCCATGGATCCCTACTGTGGCTGGAACGACCGCAACGAGTCCTGCTCGACCGCTCCGAATGGCGACCCTCTCGACAAGTACTGGGACCAAGCTATCCCTGCGTGTCCTGTGCTTGACGCGCAAATCGACGGCGGTTGGAGCAGTTGGTCGACATGGACGGCGTGCGTGCACCGCGCCGCCCCCGACGCGGAGCCCGCGGACAACTGCATGTGCCAGACCCGCGAATGCAACAACCCGGCGCCTAAAAACGGCGGGCGTCCGTGCTCGGGTCTGGCCATCGCCGTGGCTAACTGCACGGTGCACGGGGGCTGGTCGGACTGGTCCGCGTGGTCGGCGTGCTCTGCGACCTGCGGCACGGCGGTCAAAAGCCGCACTCGCACTTGTAGCAACCCGGCCCCCGCGCACGGAGGCCGGGTATGCGTGGGTCAAGATTTAGCCACTGCGTTCTGCGACGCGGAGATTCCCCCATGCCCGGCGACGCCGCAAGACGGAGGCTGGGGGCCGTGGAGCGACTGGAACGACTGTCCTAGTTCATGTACCGCGGGCTGCAAATCCAGGACAAGGAGATGCGATAGCCCGGTACCCGAAAACGGGGGGCAGTACTGTGTAGGGAACGACGTCGAGTACGTGCATGAGTGCGGAGAGCACAAGAAGGTGCTTAACTCGCCATGGATTAACACGTCGAACTTGACAGGAGAGTACAGTTGGAGGTTCAGGTTAGTGGAAAAAGTACCCGACGACGTACCGTACTCATTTCATTTTTTGTTTTTGTTCAGGTTTACTTGCAAGGCTCCTGCTAAGCAAGGTCTTATGAAAGTGTATCTGAAAGAGGAAGTGTGCATCAATAACAACTGCACTACCTCAAAGGAGAACGAACACCCGCATTGGGGTCCTTGGGGACCGTGGAATTCGTGTTCCGTGCCTTGTGGAGGCGGAGTACAACACAGGAGAAGGGATTGTGAAGGGTTGGGGTGTGGGGGGTCTTCAGAACAAAGTCGGGACTGTAATAAGCACGACTGCCGGGAGGAATGGGGATGTTGGTCTGACTGGTCTCCTTGTAACGTTTCGTGTGGTTGGGGTGTCCGCACCAGACATCGCGTATGTCTAGGGTATAACTGTACTGGTTCCCCGTGGGAAAAAGAATCGTGCGAAAACCGTGAATGTTATTGTAAGTAATACTTAACCTATACGAAATAAGGCTAACTTGATGGTGAATGTTACAGCAACTAGTGGTTGGAGTAATTGGACCGTGTGGTCTTTATGTGATAAAAATAATGAGCAGCACCGGAAACGCCAATGTCGTAAATCCAATCCGAAACCAAATGAGTGTCAAGGTAGCATTGAGGAGACAAGAATGTGTATTCCAGACCAGTTAAATGGTAAGAATCTGTTAATACGGCATTTTTTGTAAATTGTAGCGATATCTTGGAAACCAATTACAACGATGCTAGTTAGCGATTCGGGTTGTTTTGTAAAGTAGCGCATGCGCGTTTTATCACTTGAAAACTGTCAAAAATATCATATTTATTTGTTTTTGTTCTAATTTTCAGATATAAACTCCGCCTCGTCCGACTCGCCAAAGTTGGCATCTCCCGGAGGTGCAGTTCTCTTTTTCTTCGTAGGTGTTATAGCGGGTGGTGCAGTGGGAGCTGCAGCGATGCACGTTTATCACAAAAAGAAGCGCATTCGGATTCCGAGTTCGCCTCATTACATGAGTCCTAAACAAAACCCGTATATAACAATGCCTTTGCAAGAACGGCCTAAAAAGCATAATGCGTCAACGTCGAGCAACATTTTAAACAACGGAACACTTAAGTCAAAATACAGTGATTATGAACCGTCGACACTTAAACGAAACAGTAACGCGTTGAATAATGGACACGTGAAACAGGACTTTCTTGGTGACGATAAGTTTTATTATGACTGACTTTCCTAGTGGAAATTCCGATTGTGATATATATTGTATCAGATTGTACCTGCTGTATAACATATGATTGAGAATTGTGGTGGATCAAGATGGCGTTGGGTATTTGACAGCTGTCAAATAATCATGACTTTGTGATATGAAGTAAAGTGGAAATGTTATTTAATTGTCTAGATCACTTTTTTGGTCATATGTTCATTAATTAAGATATTATGGATAAATATAGAAATGGATTTCGCCATAAGAGTTTTGTAAAATACTAAAAAATTGTACATATCTTTATATTAATGACTCATATTGAGTCACCATTAAACTTTTTTTTATATAAAAAGCGTGTTTTATTTCTAAATCGAAACCAGGGTGTCTTTAAATTAGCACTTTATTTATGACAAAAACTATTCATTTAAGCATATTAACTAGAATAATTTATAAATAGTATATTATACATTATACATGTAACATTCATATACTTTATACCTTAGCTTATTTGCTTGATCATGATCAGTGTGTAAAAGTAACATACTTACAAATAATCACAGACTAAAACGCTTGGTGCTTGTTTGGTAGAATGAAAGCATTGTGCAGTTGCTTCAAAATAATGAACTCCACAACGAAACATTTAAAATCTAATTCCTGTTAAATCAGCACGACTTTTGACTCCACAAACTAAAACAACCTACTCACTTCTTCTTAATCTTTGGAGAAGTTGATTGAAAAACGCTAGAAGCAGACATTAAATTCTCAATATATTGACCCAAAACTTGATTTTCAGATCGTAATTTCAGATTCTCTTCTTTAACACTATCAACTCTTTGAGACAAATCATCAAGAGTATTTTGTAATTCCAAGACTTGAGATATTAGACGCGCTTTTTCTTCTTGCTCGTCAGGACTAGTATCGGGCTCTAAACTATTATGTTGAGGACTGGAACTTCCATTAGTAAAAGTTGATTGGATTGAATCCATGCTTCTACCATGAATCATACTAGATGAATTTCCGTCAGATATAGAATGCTGCTCGGGCTCGTCGTTGATTATTACTAGAAGCCATTAACCTCAATTCATTTGATAAGAAAAATTTAGATCACTCACCTTGAGGGTCATCGTCAGCCAATGGAATATTGTTTATATCGTCTTGAAGCTTAGCGCCCGCCATTTTGTTTTATTTAATTATCCGACTAATTAATTAAACAATTCGTTTACTGAACATCAATTAATTGTTACATTAAATTTTATTCGTGACACATTTGACAGATTTGACAATAACAGCTGCAGAGATACCAACGCAAGCGTTAGGAAAACTCAATACGACTGCAGTGAAATACACACAGTGGTTATCAAAATCGAGAAAAAGGATAGACGCTTGTATACTTTCATCAAGTTACTAATTAGCTTCAATTAGATTTAGCACATTCCGTCAAAAATGACAATTTAACCCAGATTCTCAACCTATTTAATTAAAAACCACTAGTTTACATTTATCAACTCACTACGATCTATATCGTAAACAGGATCACCTCGTATATACAGTTTAGACAGTTGTTTACGGCGTAAAATGCAAATGCGCTACAAATGCATTTAAAACGACGTGGTATTTCATAAAAAGTACTTCCAGGTAGAAAACAACCTGTTTTTAATCGAATAACTAAAATTAAAAGTTGATTTTCAAGCTGTCATAAATTGACATTTAAGTAGATGGCGCAGTCGTCGCGGTGTAGAAATCGGTGTTGATGTTCTGAAATAAAATAAACTAAAACCATGTATATTACGGAAATAGAAAGTAAACAAAGAATTTCAGTTCGTGTGTGTAAATCTTAAAGCTCATCTTTTATCTTCGATAGTTCCACGTAGCGTTCTAACTGTGTGATTTTTTTTGTAATCTAAAGAGTAAGTGTTCTTCATAATAACATAAACACAATTCATGTGGTTAGAATCTGCAACCATTGTTTAGATTTTCCAGACACATGGAAGGTTTTGATGCTATTTATTATGAAGAAGAAGAAGAAAACGTGGAGGAACCTGAACCAGCGGATGTTTCTTTGGTTCCTGATCCTGTCATAATTCGAGGTGCAGGCAACATGACTGTGTATGTAATCTCGCGTGTTATAGATATAAATTGATTGGGTTTTTATAGATTTGGACTGAGTAATCGATTTAGTACTGAGTTCCCTAGCGGGCTGGTATCTCGAGTGGCCCCCGAAGAGTTTAAAGAAACCGTTATGCGTATTAATGCAATCTTGAAAAAGACACTTCCGGTTAATGTGAAGTGGCTTTTTTGTGGTTGCTTATGCTGTTGTTGTACTTTAGGTTGTTCATTGTGGCCTGTTATTTGTCTTAGTAAGAGGGTAAGGTCGTACTTGGTTGTTTAAAAGTGTTTCTATAGTCGGTTGTTTCAGACACAGCATTCCTTAAATAAGCTTCTAGAATGGGAGAATAGTTACCTGTATAATAAGCTGGGGTTGCATTGGCGTTTGACCAAACAACAGTGTGATTCATCATCCATGATGGAGTATGTAATTTTAATAGAGTTTTTACCAAAAATACCTATATATAGACCCGACTAGCACATATTTGGTTACTTTATGTAAATACGTAGCGTTATATATAGTACACAGATAGATTTCATCCGGAATCTCTATTTTACCATTTAATTTTTGTAAATATTGCAATATATGTGATAGTAGGTCATATGAATATTTTGCTTTTCTTAGTACATTGGTCAACAAAATTTATACAATAGTACAAATAAATTTTAATAAGAAATGTTTTAGTTAACTTGAGTGTGAGGTGCTCGATTGATATTTTCCTAATTGATTTAAATTTATTTAATGTATTATCAAATATAGTTGTTGTGTAAATTCGTTATAGGTCAAATTAGTTGCTTATATTATTTGTAATTTAACAATAATTAATTTTTTATAAGTTATGGGTAGGGAATGTTTACAGTTTTAAAGTTGGTTGATCCATTTCTTAATGAGAAATGGTTGATCATATCTATACTTTAAAATTTATTATGAGTTCAGTTGAATGTTAATTTGAAAACTTTATATATAAAATGTAGTTTTTAATAAATTGTTAATAACGTATAAATGTGCTCAATTTAATTTGAATTTATGTAAGTTTTGGTGTTTTTAAAACTCTCTTTGGCTAAACTAACTTACACTTTAAAATCTTGTTGCAAAAATCGTCTTAGCGTTTGTAGTTTTCTTTTCAAATAATTGTAAAATTAAGCGATCTTTTTCTTAAATGGTGTATATCTACTACCTTTATGATGGTAAACCTAATTTAGTTTTGTAAGCTGACGTTTGTATTTTTAGTCATTGTACCTCAATTACAAACGCGACTTTTCCAACAGATCAAATTTAATACGAGTCCGTTAAATTTTAATTAATCAAGCGACAGCTTATGAAAAGAAATGTACTGTGTATGATACAACTTAAACGAATTAAGTAAACATGAAAATTTTTGATATTGATATTTAATTGTTATAGAATAAATGTTTGTTAACGCATATTGGTACGAATTAAGTATATCTCAGATTTGTATTTATAAAAAGCCATATATCCAGAGATGTGTCTAGAGCGCATACAATATCATACGATGTTTTTTCATTTACTTATTTATTTGTAGGTAGATACTGTCAGTGTTAGGTAACTGTATTTTTTCTTCTCAAACTTTAATAAAATTCTAAATGTCTATCAAAAATCGTTTTAATCCATCCTTGCACGTGTTCGAAAAGTCGGTTATACTACCCGCTATACACCTTCGATGTGTCACGTTACCAACGTAACGCCCCCATTACGAAATGTCAAACGTCAAAGTCAAAAACTTCCGTCTTGTCAAAACCACCAAAACCCAAAAATTAGCTAATGAAATCCATGTTTCAGCAAAAATCGAAGAAAAAACCGCCACCGAGGCCTCCACCCCCGAATTTTATGAAATACAAGAGTAAGTCGACGTATAATTTGAATCAACCTTCCACGAATTTAATCGAATGGAGTCCTCCAAGTTCACCAAAACCAGAGCACTCGCACCAGTTTGGCGGAAGCGTTTCTAGCTCATACAGCAGTAGCACTAGTAGTTTAACCTCGAGCAAAAAGAGCTTGGAAAATGATAATTCTTTATTTAATATTAACTCATCAACATTGAACTGGATAAGCAATAACTCCATGAAAGAAAACTCAAGTGTCTTAAAACCGAGAATCATACGTCCAGCGCCTCCAAAGAAGCTAGTTTCTAGAGATGAATCGGCGAGTGGGAATTCGCCCCCGATGCCCAAAGTGCCTCCGCCAAGCCTCCCGAAGGGGCGCTACGACGTAATCACGCCATACGGGATTGCGCTGTTTGATTTTCCAGCAACTCAGGCCGGCGATTTGGCCCTTCAGGTATAGTTGTTTTTTTCGCAGTACGGTGGTTGAATGAGGTTTTTTAGGTTAATGATGTAGTGGAACTGGTACGAAGAGTTAACAGTGAATGGCTGTATGGCAAAGTGTGTGATAGGGAAGGGATTTTCCCTGAAAATTTTGTTCAAATTCAAGTACCTTTAGCTGGTGAAAACCAAATAGTTACAGCTTTGTATGAATTTCGTCCGCAAATGGCCGGTGACCTAGCTTTAAAACCCGGCCAGAAAATTAAAATTTTGAAAGAAGTCTCAAGTGAATGGCTGTATGGGCAAAGTGAGGGACAGTGTGGGCAGTTTCCACGGAATTTTGTTTCGTAGAAATTTAAGTTCCGAGTATTATTTATGTGATTGTTGCACATAAAATGTGATAAATTGTGCCTCATTATGGCTATAGTTTTGTATATTTGTTCATGTTGGTTATCTAAATGGAATATTTTTTTAACATGTACCTTAAATTTAATACAAATTTTACACTCCATATCCGACTTTTATTAAATTAATAAAATTAATCAAATGAAATTATAAATTATGGCAGTCAGCAATAATAAATATATTCGGCACTTGAACCACAAAAAAGTACACTATGTGTCCAAAGTATGGAACACATGACACAAAATACAGCATGGCTAAAAAATTTGGAACCTGTACACGTTCCACCGCAATACGTATAATTCTCTATAGTTAATAATTTTTACTCTCACTAATAATAATCGTGAAACAACTTATCATTAATTCCATGTCAGTTAAATATGTAATTTAATCACTATTTTCATTAGTTATAAATATCTATATTATCGTTAAATTCTGTGAACGCCATTGATTTTTAACTTACAAGGTATATAATATATAATTTGGCATCAAAGTAGAGTTGACTGAAAACAATGGCGTTCACAAAAATTTAATATTTCTGTCCACTCTCAAATATATGACTGACACAACCAATTCTAGTCTGTGTTAGACATATTTCATTATCTACTAGGTGATATTTGGAACTATGTGTATGCGAAGTACACGTCGAGCTATTACAACGATTTCAACACTTAATAATAGTTCATTTCAAAATAAATAAAGTTTGGGCACGAATTTACGTACGACCAATAATGTTGTGATATTAACAGTACCATAGTATACATCACCTTATCTAATACACACTAGTTTAATTTATACTAGATAATAATAATTATTTATACATTTATATATTGTTATTCTTCTTTATTTATACAAGTTAATTATTGTTATATTACACTATAAGTAATTCTATTTGAAAATTCCGTCACTGTTAATTAAAACCTTAACCAAAACATTGGTCTACAGTTATTTATACAGCACTTATTCCCTCAGTTTTTTTTAAACAAAAAGTAATTCAATCAATTCGATTCAAATTTTATAAAATAACGTACTCTTGTACTTGTGGCTTATGAATCCGCATTGAGTTTTGCCCTAAGTATCAAAATTTTAAGTCGCCTCGGGAGCTTTTTTTCTTACATTGTCAATTACGAAATTACAGGGGATAACCAGAGAAAAATTGGTTATTGTTTTACGCGATATTTTTAAAATCTACATCTAAAATTTCACAACAGTTAGTAGTTTCTACCCGAAAGCGATAACATGCGAAAAAGAGCGACCTACTTTTCCATATTTTAAGAACTATGAAACTTCAAAAAACCTGAACTTAACCATTCCCTAAATGAAGGTCGTGACAGTGTTATATGTACATATAAGGTTAACTTTTCATTATACTCGTATGTTCAGGTTATGTTAAGATCTGTAATACATTACGTGGACATTATATGATATATTTATCTAACAATGCAAAATTTTTATTAAAATCTTTCCACAGTTCATGGACTTTCAGGAATATTAGACATTTTGTTTTAATATGACGTCATTAACTTTCTGGAGGAAATCATTACAAAAATTGAGTCCATTACGTGGTTTATAAAAATTTAAAATCACAAATTTTATTTATTCTTTTTACTATAACCCAAGAGAAATTTACTAAGATAATTTTTATGTAGACGTCATCAAGTTTTAGTGAGGATGAACACACATGTTACCATGTACTTACTTTTTAGCAATCAGCAGGCGCGGATCCAGGGGGCGGGCAATGGGTGCAATTGCCCCCCCCACCCCCCCCCCCCCACACACACAGGACCGAGGTACTTTATTTTGACCAATTTCAAAATTTTGAAATCGCATTTCATTTTGTAAATACAGTACCTACAACCTCTATAATCCGAATTCACGATTATCCGAACATCCAGTAATCCGAACACAGGCTATTTGAAGTGGATGCTTCTTTAATCCGAACAAAAACTCTACAATCTGAACTGAACTTGGAAACACGCACCTACTTGCAAAAATGACGCAAGATCTTTCTACATATGTTGTAAGGAGTATTTTGAAATTTTTAAAAATTGCTATATTTCAATGCACTGAATTAATTATTATCTAATTCTGGAAAAAAGGTTGAAGTTATCGAAGAAATGAGGCCCGAAATCTACAAGGAAAGGTATTTAGGTAGTTAAATTTCGAAAATCGTCGAAAATAGGTAGAAAATTTGCATGAGGAACATTTCATTTTTGAAAAAATTTCCTAAAAATTCTGAAAAAATTCAGGGATATGTATATTCCGACGTTCTGATTCCAAATATAGCATGTTAATGGTAACCGAGCAGTATTTTCGAAAATTCGGTGTGAAATTCGAATTTTTCGAAATTTTTAAAAATTGCCATAAGTGGTTCAACTGGACGAATCTGGAAAAAAGGTTTAAGTTATCGAAGAAATGAAGCCAGAAGTGACTTCTGAGGTCGAAAATCTACAAGAAAATCTATTTAGTTAAATTTCGAAAATCGTCGAGAATACATAATGGAAAATTACATTTTTGAAAAGTTCGTCTAAAAATTCTGAAAAAATTCAAGGTATAGATCCCAGCGTGTTCCAAAAAGATAGCGTGTTTATGGTCACAATTCTTTAATTTTGTTTAATAAAATTAAGGTTTATTTCTTGAAGTTTGTTTTCAACTGTGTATGAAGTTGTTATTTAATTTCCTTTCAGATTTTTGGGAAAATCACTGATCCGAACAAATCGTTAATCCGAACACACCTTTTTCCCAATTAATTCGGATTATCGAGGTTCTACTGTACACGACGAAAACAACCAAATGTCACCCATGTTATGTGAAAAAGAGTATACTAGTTAAAATTTTATAATTTTTTTTGTTTAGAACGCATTTCTGGGAAATAGGTGAAATACCAAAAAAAATGCCCCCCTTAAACGAAATCCTGTATCCGCGCCTGGCAATCAGTCAAGTAGTTTTGGACAGTGTCTGTCTAATATATCCTCGACGGACAGACAAAAGGAAATGGGGGACGAATATTTTCACATTCTACAATCTGCGATACGTCAAGGCAACATTTTGTTCAATTGAGGCTTATGAATAATTTTAGTCGTATGTTTTGAGGCGATAAACTCATTCCAATCAAACAAATGTCTACGTGACATTCTTCCGATGTATAAACATCAACATTTTAAACACTACGCATGTAAATATATTTTACAGTGTCCGTACATTATAAAATAACATACTCTTGTACTTGTGGTTAATGAATTCGCATTAAGTTTTGCCATAAGTATCAAAATTTTAAGTCGCCTCGGGACCTTTTTTTCTTACATTGTCAATTACGAAATTACAGGGGATAACCAGAGAAAAATTGGTGACTGTTTTACACGATATTTTTAAAATCTACATCTAAAATTTAGTTAGTATTTTCGACCCGATATGCGATAATACACGAAAAAGAGCGACCTACTTTTCCATATTTTAAGAACTATGAAACTTCAAAAAACCTGAAATTAACCATTCCCTAAATGAAGGTCGTGACAGTGTTATATAAAGTTAACTTTTCATTATTACGTTCAGGTTATGTTAAAATCTATAATACATTACGTGGATATTATATGATATTTATCTAACAATGCAAATCTTTCTACAGTTCATGGACTTTCAGGAATATTAGACATTTTGTTTTAAGATGACGTCATTAACTTTCTGGAGCAAATCATTACAAAAATTAAGTGCATTCCGTAGTTTATAAAAATTTAAAATCACAAATTTTATTCTTTTTACTATAATCCAAGAGAAATTTACTAAGATAATTTTTATGTGGACGTCATCAAGTTTTAGTGAGGATGAACACACATGTTACCATCTACAGAATAATCTTAAAGAATGTACTTACTTCTTAGCAATCAGTCAAGTAGTTTTGGACAGTGTCTGTCTAATATATCCTCGATGGACAGACAAAAGGAAATGGGGGACGAATATTTTCACATTCTACAATCTGCGATACGTCAAGGCAACATTTTGTTCAATTGAGGCTTATGAATAATTTTAGTCGTATGTTTTGAGGCGATAAACTCATTCCAATCAAACAAATGTCTACGTGACATTCTTCCGATGTATAAACATCAACATTTTAAACACTACGCATGTAAATATATTTTACAGTGTCCGTACTTAAGCAAGACGGTTTATATGGATATGATTGTGATACCGGACCATCTGGCCCCTGAAGTTAAGGGACCCCTTCTGTCTTAAATGTAACGGAAAATAAAATTTATTTGTTTTTAATTTGGTTATTACGAAAATACGATTTCGTCTTCGACTGACTGTTGACACTTCCGGTCGTTCCACTAATTTATGACTTGCAGCTAGGCAGCCTGCACAAAGAGCTGTCGCCTGAGTTTTGTTTGCAAATCGTTTCTCATTCTTATTTTGCTTTTTTTTAACGTTCAATAAAGTATACCGCACACTTTTGAAGTAATTGCATTTGCATTCATATTTTTTCGATTTGTTTCATTGTACTTCAGGAGCGAGGGAAGTTCTTTCGAAACAAGTTTCGCCCAATTTTTTAAATTCATATTGTGACAGAATAAATAAAATGTTGGAGCGCCATCTGACAATGAAAAGTTGGTGTATGAGTGTCGGTAAAACAGTGTTCTATTCCAGTTTAACGTAATTATGTCATTGCGATTTTTTTTAGTTGAGCACATTTTTTCCTAGACTGCGCTGATGAAAAAGCGACGTCAGGCGTCGGAGAAAGCGACGCCGACGGAGACACCGACAATGAGCTCCGGAACAAGGCTTCCACAAAAATACAGGCCGATAACATTCTATTGATTTTTCAGAAACGTTCGTTGAACCAATCACAGAGTTGGGACTATTTTTAAAGGGTGAGGTTGTTGTTGGGTTTTTCTAAAGCTAGTGTAGGAGCTAGATGTAAGGTGTGTGCGGTTTTTGCGTTTTTGGACGAGCGACAGCTCGCTGCGACCGCCGATGCAGGTGGCAACTCTTTTCCGCGAGTCCTCCACACTGCTGGGAGCCACCATGGAGGCGGGCGGAGGCGGCGGCGGCGGGGCTCCGGACTCTGGAGTCTCCGGACTCGGCCCCGGACCTCTGCCCTACGACTCCTACAGCCACCCGGTGACCTTCTCCAACAAGTACAAGCTGTAAGTGCGATTTCGGCTGCCCCTTGCCCACACGCGCCGCTTTATCAGCATGTAAACACTGTGCCCTTGTTTATCTGTTATCTTTTCGCCTGCTCGCGAACGCCTACTCCTTATCTATTTCGAAATTATATTACTTAATCGCTCGCCGAACTTTCCTGCATTTCTGGACCGGACCGGCCCGGCCGCGCGCTCCATTTTCCTCGACGTTTGTTTATTTTACGCCCCTTTCGGCGGCCGGTGCCCCCACGTTGCGAATTCGTTTCGATCGTCGGATTTTTACGAAAAGTAGGTTTTCCTGCATGGCTTGGCCGGAAATGTTTGGTGACCGCTGCGTTTACACAACACCCAGTAACCAGCCAAGCTTCGGTGTTTACGTGTTGCCTAATTAATAAAAAGCACACAACAAATAGCAACCCTTCAGACCTTGACTCTAAAACAGCAAATCGAAATGAAATACATCACGTAGCTTAGTACATCCTGCATGATGTGTCTGTGATATTAACACGCCCTCGACTAAATGTAAGTGTCTTCATTTATCCACTGAAAGTGTTTTTAAACAACGTTAATCGATGTGTTTTTATGTGTAGAAACATGAAACTTGAACCCCATGATGATGGTTATGAAACCAGTGCTGATATGTTGCTTTCAAACACTGCCAGTGTTAATCATGAAGTGAAATGTGAAAAACTCGAAGATCCTTACAGTTTTATTGACGATGATCCTATTCCGATGCTTCCTGCTGCACAAGGGCCTCCTCATCTTATCAGTCCCATGCCCCCGCTCAACAACCAGCTAGTTCCAACAGGCCCCAAGAAAAGGGGGAGAAAAAAGAAAATTAAACCAGACCAGTAAGTCCTTTCATTACAAATTTTAAAATTACAATTAACGCCCAATTGACACCCACAAAAAAACCCATTTGTAAACAGAAATTATGGGGATCCAATCTCGTTATTAGTTATTTGCTAATCAATCCAAAATCACTTATATATACATAGAGTGGTCAAGAGTTGATTCATGAAAAAGTGAAAGTGTTTATCCATGATCTGTCAAGTGTCACTTAATCTGGCGCCGTTATTTAAATACTGTGTGACGTCACGTACATCAATTATTGGACACTTGCAACGCCAATTTTTAGGCGCATTTCCACACTCTCCCTTTTTAAAAATTAAATTCCCACATTCCTTAAAAAAATGCCCACTTGTTTCTAAGCACAAAACGTATTTATAAGTTGACCTTCACAATTAACTATTAATTCAGAGCACAATAATTAACTGATCTTCCACTGATTTCATATAAGTTTTGAGAAATACAAAGCGAGCATTCAGTGATAAAATTTTGGGTCAACAGGCTTTCTGATTAGGTGGTACAGTGCTATTTATGTCAAAAGTGTCAGAATAGTATCATATTTATCACGTGTCAAGCTTTACGTCGATTGGGTCTGACAGCGAAGTGGCTTTGTGTCGGAAAATCACCATATAGACAGGATGCCAATTTTCGATAGGGAAATTGTCAGTGGAGATTATTTTGAAAGTCTTCCAATTTAAATATTGAAATTGTTTTACATCATTTTGTTAAGACAGCAAAACGCAAAACATTTCGGGTGAATATGAATTCACCATTTAACATTCCAAACATTATAGACTCAATTTTGTTGAAAAAAAAGTTCGCAATATGGTAAAAGCATTTCCGTTTTTGTACCAATACGGTGTCATATTTATATATTTCCTTTTTGCGATGATGACATGGAAGTTATGATATGTGTATGAAATAACAAACGAAAATTTAGACAGAGGGAGGTATTTGCCTCTGAACTTCGCGTTCTCACTAAATATGATATTGCAGTGTAATTGAAATTACTAACTGTCATTCGAAACTAAAACCAGATTAAATTAATACATATAGCATGAACTGTCGTTTTAGCTGGGGCTTAACTAGGGATATTTTAGTTTCATGAAAAATGACCCTCCTGTCTGCTGTAGCGATTTTTTCGACACAAAGTTTCGCCGTCAAGCCGAATTAGCGCCAAAGAACGATCCCTCGAAACTGACATTTACATTAAGGGAATGTAGTGAGGCCAATAGAAGAAATTTTAAGGCGCTAGGGATGTAGAAATGCGCCACAAAAATAGACGTTGAAAATGCTCCATCAATTTTTTTAAACTATAGATATAAATATACACACAGAAAAGTAAATACTTGTCCGATTTGTATTTCGTACCGTTTAGTGTAGGTGGCGCTACAGAAAATGAAAATACGTCGTATAAAAAAGTTTTAGAGAAGGGTGTCAATGTAAATTTTACAGTGTCTTTACCACTCTTGTATACTTATTGGTCTGCCCTAATAACCCCCACAATTTTATGAGCCACAAAAGTTCAAGCTGCCGTAATTCGAGCCACTAAAAAATACCCTACAAGTCGAATCTGCACTTTGGAGTTTAGATAACATTGACCCATTAGAAACGATCTTAAAATAAGGCACAAGGTCAGTGGCACAATAATGGCGGGAATTTCAATCTTATATCGTTCGCCGTACGCAAAGTTTTTAAATTCTTCGTACTACGATTTATTAAACCGAAGAGTCGGGTTTTTACATGAAATACCACTGGTCGCGGGTGGCCATTTTGACCACGGCAAGAATTTCCGGTTGATGAAATAACGTTGGGAAATTTTATGCGTAGTGGGGAAACCAAGCGATCGACGATACAGAGTCCTATAATTTAGGTTTTTCCCTTTTAAGGTCTATTGACCTCGAAAGCTAACGTGTTCATGGATTAGGTTTCTATATACGAGGGTAATACAAAAAGTAGATTTCGTTCGAACAACTTTATTCGTAAAATTGTTTATACAACGTGTCTATAATTAAAGTCGGCTGTGAAATTTCAAAATTGCCGCTCTCAATCGACTAGTCAACCCCAATCACTCAGCTGTATAATTGGTCACATAATTAAGAGGAAATTAAGGAGCAAAATAGTTTATTCGAATTTTCACTAACAAAAACGAAATTGTGTCCACACCACGACTCAATCTTATTGTCGGCTCTATTTCGAACTTGAGTGCTCGTCTTTCATCCAACAGCTGGTTCCATTTCTTGTATCATTTATCACATGTTCATCGTAAACTTGACACTTTGATGATGATTTCCACTGGCTCATTATTTGCACCGAAAAAAGCCGAGACAGGTTTTACCAACGTAAACACGTTTAATGCTCAATGAAAAACATAAACACAAGTTAATTTTAGTGTAATTATGTTTGTGAGTTTTCAGTGAGCGAAAAGATAGCGAGACCTGTCGAACTAAATTTAATTTTGGGTTACCCTCGTATACACATCGATCGTTTAAACCTGAACGTGCTGCATTCACGGACGCTCCTTCTGACATGTTTCCATTAATTCTCCACAGATGTAAAAATAACAGTAATTTTGCTACACCGCTCTATACATTTGTAATTAAAACGGTGTTTTATTATGTGTAGGTAGTCATAAAAGTGTGAGTAGCTGGGTATTTTCGATAAATTATTACTACAATGAAATGGCCATTTTATATATACATATATATATTGGGTATTGTGGACTTTGTCCCTATTGAGTTTAGAGATATATAAAAATCAAATTACAAGAGAAATTTTAATAAAAGTAGTACTAAGTTGCCCATTCTTATTCATATTTTTTCACAGTAGTAGTTTTACATATAAACTATCAATTGTGGTCATGCTAACAGTGTGTATTTTTGTGTTGCATGATTGTTACATAAGCACTGCATACTTAAGTTTTACTTAAGAAAATTGGTCATAACTTACCTGTTGTTCTTAAGGTGCAAATGAATGCCTCATGTTATGCTTATGTAACGTTAGTGTAAACAAGATGTTGATAATATTTAAAAATTCTCAAGTTTTACCGACAAATTTTGCGTAAATATCTTTTTTTTTCGTTTATTTGATTTTATACTAATATTTAATTTCGTTGTTATTTGATTTGCAGACATTTCTGTATTTTCTAATATGCGTGTTGCTAGGCCGGACTATAGCCAAGATATGAACGGTGGAATTCCTCGGCCTATTAAGGAAAGAAAAAAGCACGATCGATTTAATGGGATGCCCGAAGAGGAAGTATCTAAACGAACATTACCAGATCATCTAACCGAAAATTTAGATATAATCATAGTAAGTGATGAATTGGATGTTGTTGAAGTATCGCTAATTTGTTGTTATCTGACAGATTGGGATAAATCCGGGTCTATTTGCGGCCTACAAAGGTCATCACTACGCTGGTCCCGGAAATCATTTTTGGAAGTGTTTATATTTATCAGGATTAACTCAACAGCAAGTATCAGCTGACGAAGATTACAAATTACTTCAAGTAGGGATCGGCTTTACAAATATGGTACAGCGCGCAACTAAGGGTAGTGCAGATTTAACTCGTAAAGAAATTAAGGAGGGTAGTCAAATATTACTAGAAAAATTACGGAAGTTTCGACCTAAAATAGCCGTTTTTAACGGCAAACTGATCTACGAGGTATTCTCGGGGAAGAAGGATTTCAAGTTTGGGCGACAACCGGACTTGGTAGACGGCACAAATACGGTAAGCCGTCGTGTTTTTTTTATTGGGGCCGTGAGCTTCGTTCGCTCTTAATCACGCAATTGTTTATGATATAATTTTCTAATGTAGGAAAAAATGTTCTTTTTCAGTACATGTGGGTAATGCCATCATCCAGCGCCAGATGCGCACAGCTTCCAAGGGCGGCAGACAAAGTTCCATTTTACGCGGCTTTAAAGAAATTTCGCGATTACCTGAATGGCGTCATAACAGAAATCGACGAGTCAGAAATGGTGTTTTCGGAGCCTCGGGTCAAATCATGCTACGAAGCCGAACCGAAACCCGATCCATATGCCACCGAACTGACCGATATAAGCAACGCTGTGATTAAAAAAGAAGATGGTACGATTGTACCTTGTAAGAAAAAACGGGGTCGGCCTAAAAAAATAAAAGTGGAGGGTGAAGAGCCACCACCGAAGCCAGTTGTCCGCAAAACGCCACCAACTCAAAATAACTGTGATTTTCCCAAGAAGAAAAGAGGCCGGCCTAAAAAAGTCAAAGTGGAGAACATGGACATACCCCCACCGGACAACAATACATCGACCAACATGACTCAATGTTACTCGAATCCGTCACCTATCCAATCACCGAACAACTTCTACCAGATGGGGCCGGCACTCACCCCCCCGAACAGTGGGAGTAATCTGTACGCCCCCCAGCCGCAAGGCTACACCCAGAGCCCCAGACCGCCCTACAGCCAGTCTCCCAGGCCCCCTTACAGCCAGTCGCCCCGCCCCCACTCTCAGCCCTTCACGCACTCGGACCTCAGTTCGGAGATCAGCGCCGCGATCAGCTCCGAGCAGCTGGGGTCACCGGCGTCCCCCAGCCTCGGTCCCCCCGATTTCGAGCCCCCCACCAGCATGGCGGAGGAGGCGGAGTGTCGCCTCAGCAGCCCCGCCCCCTCCTCCAACAGCGAGCAGCCCCACTACCCCTACCACTCGTACAACATGGACCCCTCCCACGAGGCTCAGTACGCGTCGCCCCGGCAGCCCCAAGACATAGCTTCCAAGAGTTTATCCGGCTTGGAGTCCCTGGTAGATCAGATTCCGAGCATAACCGACGGAGAGGCGCCCCTCAGCGAGGCGCCAGACCAATATTCCGGCCAGTTCAATAACTACAACGTGTCGTCGAGAGCTAGTCCAGTCCCCTACAACTACCCCCCGTCTTCGGGGTACCCCCTGTACCCCACCCCCACCTGGAGCGGCCACTACGAGCCCATGCCGCTGGCTTACCCGCAGCTGCCCTATGCTCAAGGCTACGGCCCGGGCTTGCACGTGCCGAGCCCGAATTACCCCTACTATAGTTACCCCCAGCCTGCGCCGACACACCCGCCCGGCTACCCCCCCTACTTGGGCGGCTTCTGATTGGTTTCCGTCACTGTGTATTCATGTTGTGTACCTGTACCATATGTTCAGCTAGTACCTAGCAAGTCTGTCCGCTTGAGTACAGTTGGTCACTTGCATTTTGACAACAACAGAGACTTGCACAGGGTAAATGGTGATATTTTTTTGTCATAAGTATTTTCTCTAAACTTTGAATGTTAGATAGGCCAAGGGTTTCGTGCATTATTCTACATTCAGATCTCAGTCGAGTGTGTGTGTGTGTTAACTCTGAGTGTGTGGTTCATCGTTATAGCTGTAGCCCATGTCATTCATTTAAATAAACATTTGTTATAGCTCTTCAGGTCGTCTTTTCTTGCCCCTTCCCACATATCACTGCATTCGAGGGTGGGCTCGCCACAAAATACTCTGTAAGTGGTTTGCTCATTTAAAAAGTTGAAAACTACTTTTATAGCGACAGAACTGATATTTATTTAATATTACCTATTTCAATGTGTTATTACGAAATGTGACATTTTTTTATATCTAATGTTATATTTAATATTCGTAATAGTTTCACATTTTTAAAAAATTCTATCTTCAATTTTTGTACTTTAAACAGTATTACTAATTAACGAAAAAAGATCAAATAAATTTTGTTTAGTTCTACTACGTGTTTTTATTTTTAACACGCATTATTATAATTACCGACAAAAACAATCATAAATTTATAAAAATAAACGACTTCGGTATTTACAAACATCACGTGTGTAAACCAAATCAATAAAAAAAATTAAATGCGCACGCATCCGAAATATTTAAATATTGCCGAAACGCGACTGCGCAAAGCGCCAAATTTTAAAATGCTCCAATCATTATTATGTGATTTCATTAAAGCCGCGTTCACAATCGAATCATACTTAACAAATCCTTGAAAATACCAAGCTTTCTACGCATAAATACGAAGCGGACCAATTGGAAAAGACATACTGAGCATGCGCACTACTTTGTAATGATCAGCTGTGAATGTGTCGTGCATGGCATAAGCGTGATTACCTACGGAACCAGACTTTAACTCAGTTTTCACAAATTGAACGCTTTGTCACAAAAAATCAATTTTGTGTTGTGAAAGCTTAAATTAAACTCTGTTTTGTTAAGTATAATTTCTTTAACCTGAAATTTTGGTCACCAATCACACGATGACCTTAAGTATGTTTAAATTTCAAAACAATCAGTTGTGTAATAATCTGTCAAATAAAATCGTCAATAAACAGGAGACATAATTTTACAATACATTTCAAAGAAATCAGTTCTGTCAATAAACAAGCACTAAGACTTTGGTTTAAATCATTCAGATAGAATTTCTCTTGTCTGGTGCGTCGTTTCTTAGATAAATTGTGACAGACGGAAACGGGCGACCTACTTTACCACATTCTACGAGCTATGAAACATCGAGACAACGTTTGCTCGCGGGAAGGCACAATAGTGTTCTGTACATAAAAAATGTCTCCAAACAGTGTAAAAATATATTGCAATCATGAAAAATTCATATCTGTATGTTAAAAATGTAGACATTGACGTTGTTCGTAAATCCTGGACACCTATATGTATAACATGTAATAGTAATAGTGTCATTTCTAACAAATGAGAACATTTACAAATTACAAGTATCAATGTAAATCGTGCAATCAGTAGAAAATTCGCTAAAAAACTCATAAATCTTATTGGTTGCGACTGCCGTGGAACTGATCGCAATGCGCGCGCATCTAGGATAAAACTACGTCGTAAGTCACATTAATTCTGCAAAATAAAGTTAAACAATAACAAAAATAGTTTATAAGTGTAAACGCAACCTGAAAATAAAGATTAAACAAAACAAATAAAAGAAAAACAAAGCAATTAATTAATTTAAACAACAAAATTTACAATCTGTAACTACGCAACAATTAAAACCAAACCAGCATACACAAAGTTGATGAAGTTTACATTTCTGAATGATTACTCTATTCAAATTTTAGCACCCTTAATCAATGTTGGTTTTTAGGAAAAAACAACATTTTTATCACAATTGAACATTACAAAAGAAAAATAATAATAACCTGAGGCATTAAATAGAGTCGAATTCAAGTGTACATTAAGTTTGTAAATAGTGCTTAATGGGTAATTGTAAGCCCACTTTGTCGAGAACAATGAACAATACCTACAATAAAAATACAAATGCGGGACTGTTGTTAATTCGTGTCGATTTTTAAAACGGCTTAAATTCTAACTTGTGTCTTTACACTATTTTTGTATAGTAATGAAATTTCACGACCGAGAATTAGATTGACGGGGATCTTTACCACGCTTACTATACAAAAATGGTGCGCCAAGAATACAATTTACAAACAACGTCACACCTCTACATTTTATCATCTATTTTACGCAGTATCTGATGTTTCAGCATACTCGAAATGCGCAATAATCACAATCTGGGTGTAATTGTGGGTTTGTGATAATTCTCACAATTTTCTATTCACAAAAGAATTAATAAAAATAGATTTTATTCATTTGAAGTCTCACAAAGCAATATAAATATTACTTTCAATAAGTTAAAAAAGATAACAAAATAACTTTGCTATATGAACTTAAAGGTTGACCACTTAATTTGACGTGGGTTGCGAAGTACTCGTCAACATTTGTTTGTTTTATCAGTTTTCTTACAAAAAAATTCAACCTATATGCATATATACCTATAGTACGAGTAGGGTTGAATAGTCAAAATGAATAAGATTATCAGGTATATGTGCACCAGTTCATAAGAAAAATAATTAACCTTTGTAAGATTTTATGATGTCTATCCTAGTTATCATAATTATAGTTTGTACAAAAACAACTATATGTAAAAATATGCCCAATTTACCACTTACTCTTATAATTAAGATTTCACAAGTAGGTAGGTAGTGAAAGACTATTGGACCAATATTAATAACAAAAATACTGTTAAAGCATTTTTCATTCCTTATACCAAGCCTAGGCACTGAAATGTCGGTACGACATCAACACTCGCGGAGTTGATAAACCACTCCCTACAATTTATTAAATCAAAATCTTCGACTTTATTGCGTGTAACGGTTAGTACTATTAGGTGCTTACGTTAAGGAAAATTTTAAAAGTGGGTGGAAAATTACCAATAATTTACACGTATACCGTTAGCAACGTTGCTATACATCCAGTAATTGTGGTTTTGAATGAATAGCAACCACCTTGCTAATCATTGTCCAGCAACTATATTTTTGTTATCAATTTACTCCACTCTAGAAAAATTCCGAACGAAAATTGAAACTGTGGCCCAAAAATCTTATACTGTTTTACACACATATCAGGTCAGAATAATTTGTTCCACGTAAATCACGCACATGCAACAAATTATTCGTATTTGGAACTAAAATCTAAATTAAATACGTATCTCTTGAAGAACCTAACTTAAAACGATAAAATACTTTTATTTGACTCAATAAATCAAAATCACGATCTCGAACGATATCTTGTGATTATGAAGTGCTATTGCTTTAAACAATCAAATATCTATATACAGTCAACTGTTTTAAAATTAAAGTTAGACACATACGGCGTATAAAAGATGAAAAATATAAAACGTGAAACAAATAATAAATAAAAAGATATTTGTCACAATGAGTAACAAAGGTTGCTTCCTACAAAGTACTTATATAAAATATATACATAATTATTTATCATATATAAAATAAAGTTTACATTATATCGACGAAATATATTAATATAAAAATATAAATAAATTAACAAGTATAAGTTCCATGAAAATGAATGTTAATAAAATACAGGAACTTTTAAATGTACATAAAACTTTCTTTAATAAAACTTTAGTTGATCTATCATAGATATATTCTATTTTAAATAGTGACTATGCATCAGGTGTCGATTTTGTCTGTTGCGAAACATTTTCTGGAACACTTTTTTTATTGTCTGAAACACTGCACTGTACATTTGGGGAAGAACTTCTATCTCTACCATCCTGATCTTCTAAAAATCTATCCATAAAATCAGTAAGACCGGGATGTAAAGTGTATTTCTTTTTTTCCAATCTCGTTTTGTTGGCAAATATGTCATGCCTTTCAGATTTCTTCCACAAATAATAGAACTGAACTAATTCCCCCACAGACCTTGTACGAACCTTCAACCACATACTACTCATTTAAAATAAAGAATCACTACTTTTTTCTCGTTAAAGCACACTTGCACCCCGACGCCACAGAAGCCACAGAAAGCAATACGCTCTGTGGATTCAGACAGACAAAATACGCGTTCTGATAAACTTGAAATTTTGAATTTTCTTCACTACACGGAATCAAACGAGCGTTCAAATTAAAGTAGACGATAAAAAAAAATAACACACAAAGACCATATTCAATGAAAAATTAAAATAAATCGAAAGATTCGAATCAAATCATATTTTAAAACTGTGATGCGTCATTTTGTTCGTATTATATAATTATCGATTTCTTTATTTAATTTCCTGTTGGTTTAGGTACTATGATGGGAAAGTCGTAGAGGCACCTTGGGTACTTTGTATAATATATCAGATCCAATTAGTGTTCTAAAAGTCTGTATTTTATTAACAATCCTAACAAAATTTTCCATCAAATATAGTCTTTACGGCTTATTCTAGTGGCTGTTTAATAACACCTGAAGTCTACCTCAACAGAAAAAAGTGATCAAAGCCAGTTTGAAAACCATTCCAATATAATGTTAAGGTTCATTCAATAATCGTACATAAGGGTGATTGAGTGTCAAACGCGCTTAAAATGAATTTTGCTGAATATGTTGAGCAATGCCTGAATCCACAAACTACTATTGTGTTAAGTTAGTGTTAACTGCAATCGCCGCTTGGTAGAAACTTTAGCAAAGTTAATAAAATTGGAAAAAAACGCAAGTGCAACTAAATGATTGCCACTTAATACATAGTTACTCAGTCTTGCAATCATTTCTGAATTAATACTCAAAAGTTTTATGTTACCTTATTTTGTTGTATTAAATGGAAATTTTTCCCGAAACACCTGACTCCAGCTTCAAAATTTCTACATTCTTCTTCTGACCAAAGACTCATATTGTCAGAACTGGGGGCAACGTTCATTCTTAAACGCCGTAAAGCTTCTTCCACGTTATGACCACACTGTTGTAACAAATATAACGCTTGTTCATCGTCCCGCAGATGACTACCCATCGGAATCGGCGGTTTTGATATTTCAGAAGCCTTTTTCAAGAAGTCTTCTGTTATTGTGGCGCTTATCACTAATGGATCCCATAGAAGTTTATCTTCATTTTCATAAGGCAATGCATCATCGTAATGACATAAACCTTCAGGAATTTGTGCTTGGTAGTCGCTACCAACCATAATCGTCTGAAAACAATAAAAAAATTAAAACAAAATAACGGAACTTACATCGCATGCAACGCAACGCATATTCAAAACTAACATTTCAAGCCACTACGTCTACCTACTGATCTTAGAAATAAATGTACATGCATGATAAAATGTTAGTAATGAATTATAATAAAGAAATAACCTTATTAACCTTTCTCCATTCATCTTCATCTGGACTGTAGTCGTAATCTTCTTCTTCTTCCTCGCTCACTCGCGACACCGCTACAATTACAAATTAGAAACAACCTTTTTGTAATTTTTACTCTTACAACGTAATAATCTCGCCGCGTCTTGGTCGTTCTCGGGGATGTTTTCGTACAAGGCTCTCAGTTTCGACGGCTGATCTGGGGGATCAGTCTCGCTCTCCTGCTCCTCCATGGGTTCCGACGGATCCGCGTCTTCCTCAATCGGACTCTCGTTTTCCTGATTTTCGCCTCGGTAACCATACAAAGCCAGTAGTTCTTCCAAGGGCATATTACTCTCCTACAAAGTTTAATTATTCACGAAACACCCCCAAAACAACTACCTTTTGTAAACTAGAAAGTTCGGCGTTCGGATCTTCAGACTCTCCGGCTGCTAAAGCCTCCTCTTCTTCTAGAGTTCTTTCGTCGTCGAAATCGTTAACGAGCATATCAACTGAAGGGTCAAATAGCTTATCTTTACTGGGTGAGCCGCTGTCTTTTCCATCTTTATTTGGAGAAGCAACTTCTGCCATGATATTACTCTTCATTCATCACTTCTGCTTGTAGCGGTGCTTGAATTAGAGTGAACAAATCTGGAAAGACGGTGTGACTCAGCAACGTATCAAAGATAAACCAAAGTAACACGAGAATTATTTCACTACAACGACTAAACAAACTATTGTATTATTTTCACAAACAAAAACATTGAGTAAAGTGAGGTTAGATGGGCCGAAAGTAAGCCCGCTATTTACATGATTTTTTTTTTTCAATGCATCCACCTGAAAGTGACAACGGGCTGCCTGCACACAACTAAAGTGTAAACTAAAAGCGAAAATTTCGCAATTCGGACAAACTTTTTTAATTAAACATTTTTAATTCCACCAAAAACACAAACCACTTATGATTATCCGCCATATTTGTCACGTGACTGAGAACAGCGAGACAAAACAACCATCAAAGTAGAACAAAACGAGAGCCGATTGTAATTACACTAGAAAAAAGACTTTTCACAGATAAAACAAAACAATACGTGTTTTTATTACAAGAAAACAATAAATCCATAAACCAGAAAGCTTATTTTGTTATAAATTATTAAATGCGGTTGCGTAAAACACCGTCTATATTTCGGCCATCATCTTTTATACACGTCAATGTTTACAACTTTGCAATACCTAACCCTTCCAAACTGGGAAATAAAGAAATTTTTTCCTACACAACAAAATTTAACAATAGTTAACATGTGGTAAATTCGAAATTGCGCCATTCTTCAGTGCCATCCATTGTTATAGAAATTTAAAATGAATTTAAACGATTTATCAAAAACTGTTATTACTTCCAGCTCCGAATGTTCAAAAGAATGCAGAAATATTTTGTTAAAAGGTAAATAGTTAATGGTTGTAACGTCCGAATATCTGTGTTATTTCAGTTGCGTTGTCTATAAATCAGTTTCCCAATCAAGATCGCGTGAAAGTTATCGACAAGATTTCAAGTGACCATAACATCCCCAAGCACAAAGTACTCGAACTCCTAGGAATATATTTAGCCATTGTTCAACTGTTTGTGGAATCGTCTGACAAAGAATTCAACGCAAGATTGATAGAACTGGGATTCTCAAATGAGTTTGTTGCAGATTTGCCTTTAGTTAGTAATAGGAGCAAAGTTGTAGAAACTATTTTAAACGCAAGAAGGGGAGAATTTTGCAAACTTGTTTCCTTAAAATGGAGAATTGATATAAGTTTAACCCACAGGTTGTATCATTCTGAAGTCAAGGTTTTTATTTATTTTGACGTTTCAGTGTTCTGAGTAAGAAAATTCCCACCAGTGTAATTTTGTGCCTTCAACTCAAAAATGGACGTAAATATACAATCAACGTCAATATTAGGACATTCCATAAATTAAGATATAATGTAGCTTTAATACTGAAAGAAGTTGCTAATTTAAAACTAAATCAACAAGTTAATAAATAAAGTTATTTCAGTGATTGCTATAGTTAATTCGTGAAGTGATTTTAAGCGCGTGGTTGGTACCCCTGATAATTTAGTTTCCCGCGACGGGTGTCATTTTAAATCGACCAATGACGTGTACAATATAAATGTCATTTGGCCACGTGCCCACACTGTTTCCAATAAGCTTGATTAAATTAACATGTGTACTGACAATTTTATTATTAGATAACTTAGTTAACTCGTGACCTGTACCTAAAATTTATTGACTGTTTGTCTATACCAAAACGTCAGGCGTTATTATAAAATCTTTATTTTTATAAAAAGAAAACTACAACAAATACAAACGTAATATATTTGTTTATAAATTAAAAAAATCACCATTATGCTGACAAAACTGGAACTGCGCCACAAATATTAGCCAGTGGAAATTCCCAAAGATCACCGGGTTATTATGAAAGTGACTGTTGCACTTATAACAATCTAACAAATTAACGGTTACTGGGCGCATAAAGGAAGAGTAAAATAAGGGCCCAAAAATGGAGCAAAACCTACAACAACTACACTTGAAAAAAATTTAAATCCAGAAAGTCGTCTTACCATATAGCAAAAAACAAAAACTCTGGCGACAGGGTAACGCCGAAGAAAAATTCCAGTTCTCACACTGATTGCGTCAACTGTCGAATACGCGTGTTTTACTCTTCTTGTGACTCCAGCGTCAAACGGAGACACTCTCATGAAATGGGGAACCTGTGACTTGACTAAACCAGAATAAGTCAATACTATACCACAAAATACGTACCATCGTCTGTATCATTCACGTTTATTACACGAACTTGTGCCCTCTCTAACTGTACCAAATTATTATGATATTCGCTCTAAAATTACAAATCAATTAATTCGTTTGACATTAATAATTATAATACTTCACCTCCAACTTCTCCAGTTGTATTCTCAAAGCATTCCTTTCAGTCGTCACCGTTTCTAACGTATTCTGCTTCAACATCAGGGTCTCCGTCAGCGACTTTATTCTCATTTCATAATCATTCCCTCCTACACTACTTTTATTTCTAACAGCTTCTTGTAATCGCTGAATTTCCTCATTCTTTGCCTGAATCACGTGATATTGTTGCGTCAACTCCTGACTTTTTGACTGCAACTCTTGTACTTTCAAACGACAATCTTCTTCAGCCATCACCCTGACTTTTTTCTCAGTCATTAAATTTTCGTGAAGGATTTGCGTGGACTGTTGCGACGAATTTTGCGTTAACACAATTTGCTGCTGCAAAAGCGAGATTTCTTGCGTCAGTTTCTTATTTTTTTCCGACAATTCTACATTTCGGTTTTGCTGAAACTCGACTTCTTTCCTAAAAGTAGATACGTGGTTTTTGGACTGCGTGAAAAGTGTTCTTACTTTAGTTCCTCGTTGTAGTTGGTTAAAATTTGATCGGAATTTTCCAAAGACTTGCTTTCGTTTTTCAGAAGGATTAGATTTTCTTTCTCTTGTAGAATTCTTTGAGCTCTGGCTTTGTACTGTTCCATCTCGGATTGAGCGGTTGTTACTAAATAATTGGATGCTTCAACTTGAGAACACAAAGTTGTGTTTTCGTTTCTCAGTTCCGCGTATAAATGCTGGAGATTTAATAATTGTTTACTGAGATCACGGACTTCATTCTCTAGTTTTGTTATGGTTTCTGTGTAAGTTTGAACATCTTCAGTCAAGACAAAACTAGACGTGGAAAAATTAATATAAATGTGTGTGTATAATTGAAAAGTATGTACCTATTATGAGACGAAAGGGATTTTGACCCCGGTGAACCAGGTTTAGACAACTTCTCCGTCTCTTCTCCCACTAAAAACAAATTTACTTAAGAAACACACCATCTTGTTACGTACTTTTAATTTTTTAAATTTCGTACGCTGCACAAATATTACCTGCGCATGCGCAGCATTTCGCACCGAAATTTGCGGCAAATTTAAATTACACTCACCATTGTCTTGATTTTCTGAGCCAGAAAATTGTACAACCTCCTCCACAACAGAAGCCTTAACTAAATCATTGCCACTCGTTTTGGGTGACTTTGACACTGAGCTGATACTTTCAAGTGGCTCTGAATGAATCACTATTTCTTCAACTGGTTTATCACCAAATTCATTAAATGTACCATTTTCCCTACGAGTGCGACTTATTTACTTTTGTACTTACACACAATGGTACTTACCCCTCTAAATATTTATTACTACTATCGTTTAAAACTGTGGCTGCATTTTGATCAATTTTATTAAGTAGATCTTCAGCACGACCTGCTAAATTTTGTAACCACGCCATGATTTTTAACTTTCGACTTTTACATCGTTTATCACTTACATGTTACGACTTACAGTCACCGTTATCATTCTTAATTTATGTTAAAAAATAATTAAATAAATACCGTCATCGTGTCATCGATACGTCATTTCCGAAACTTTTGGTGCATTCTAGTTATAATAATTTTATCACTAGTTTCTAGGGACTTTTGTTGGAAGGATAAGCGTACGTTGGTGACATAATGGCCTCCAGATCCCGACACGATCAACATGGCAACTAACCAAAAACGTAATCCAATTGTTTGATAACAAACATTTGAAAGCATTTAATGGAATTGCGCATTAATTATAAAATGGTGTAAAATTTTCTATTGTATTTTTTATTGAATTTTAATATTAATTTATTTTATATACAGTACAGTCGGTAAGTAACGATACAAAAAAAACTTTTTATAGACGTACTTATCACTGGTTGGGAAACTTCATTTATTTTTTGTTTTTAGTGTAAATCTATCCACAATGGCCGAAAAGGAGAAGGCACAGCCAACCCAGCCGAAAAACATACCAAAAGATGGCCAAGTTATCATGTCCATAATGAAAGAAATGGGTATAATGGATTATGATCCTAAAACAATAGTCCAGTTAACAGAGTTCGTATACCGATACGCGACTTCTATTTTAGAAGAAGCTCGAATGTATGCTAACAACTCAAAGAAAAAATTTTTAGACGTTGATGATGTACGGTTAGCTTTACAGTTAACAACAGAATCTACGTTTACGACTCCGCCACCTCGTGAAGTGGTTTTGGAATGTGCGAATGTTAAAAATTACACGCCTTTGCCTTTAGTGAAGCCTCATTGCGGTTTAAGGTTACCCCCTGACCGTTACTGCTTGGCTTCATGTAATTATGCTTTAAAAAGTTGTAACCAGAAGAAACCGAGTAAACCAAATTACAGCAATCCAGGGCCTGGAAGCGGAATGAAAGTCGCGACTAAACTCAACGTGAGTTATGTGAAAAGGACTCCAATAGGTGTCACGAAACAATCGGTCAACATCCCCAAACCGCTGACGAAAGTTACGACCACCATGCCCGTTCAACAGAAAACAACGCTCAAACCCAAAATTCAGATAGCGTCGCATAATGTGCAAATTACTTCAGCAACAAACGGTACACCCATGGAAATGGAGAATTCCCTGAAGAGGAAAAGAGATGATGACGGTGATACATGATGTAGATAATCTTTAAAAATAACGTTGTAAATTTTGCATTAATTATTTTATTAAACAAAATAAATTACAAAAAATCATGGAACACTACAAATGAACGAATTGTTTTATTGTGAACCAGTGGAAAGTAAGGCCAGAAGGCCTGAGGTCACGCCAATGGAGATCGTGTAGTTGACTGGCGGAGTGAACGACGGCAGCAAGTAGAAACTAGAGATGATCACGATTGTCAAAAACAGCGCATTGTTGTAGAAAATCGACAATGTAGTGGCTTCAAAATCAGCAACTTCGTTCTTCTTCCACAAGATTCTCTCGTCCTTTTCCTTTTTGCTCATTTTCTTGTCTTCTGACAATTTCTTTGACAAATCTCTAGTGACGGCTTCTTCTCTCTTCACGGCGATCTTATGCTTCAAAGTGAACTTGGTATTTTTATAGGCCAAAGCCAACAGATAGGTGGCTATGGAAGTAACCACGACGAACAAAATCAACGAGGAATAAATCTCAATTAAATGTATTCTCCAGAATAACCAGATTGGTACTGCAGAAACTATCAAAGCGTTACCATAAAATAAGGCCGACGATTTTGTTGATACGTTCCTGCTGAAGTCTTGTAGCAGCAGCTCTTCTTCTTTAGTGAAGCCTTTACTTTGGGACTTGGACATCTTTTTGTAATTTCACACAACTTTAATTCAAAACACACTTGTAAACCTGCGACAAGCTTCTCCACGTCTAATTTAACAACCCCATACACTACTTTCTCTGCACCTAAGCGCCACGCGCTACGTTTTTCTTCCACGTTTCAAAGTGTTGGCGACACGAGAGAGTGGGGGAAGTTGCAATATTTCAAAATCCCATTAGACATAATGCTGACATTTGCGACTGCGCAGACTCCTGCGAGCGTGTTTTAAAAAATCGGAATTATTTACACAAACTCCGTCGCCTCTGAAAGTACAACAAAAAACCGTATACACTTCAAGAACTATCGTTTTTAAGTTTAATTTTTTTTTTATGTGACGTCATTAATTTTTTAATAAAACGGTATTTTTGAAATGAGAAGATCCATTGTCTGGACGGGATACACAAATAAATTTTTGTTAATGCACACGACAGTGAAATATTGACTGAGATCTACTTAATAACACTAAAATAACGTAATCAGTTTTTTGTAAGCAATGAATAAACAAGTTTTTGTGAAAATTATAGAATACACGTCAATTTTCATTCAGATTACAATGAAACCGTCCGAGGTTTTTGTAATTACAACAGACATGCACAAGTACGGACAAAAATGGGAAGGAAACCTGCGTTTTCGTATTCTAGAGCTGTGAAATTCCCTGTCACAATATCGCTCGAAAAATAACACGATATTATATTTACCTGCATTTATGTCTGTGTAAGAAAAGTGGATAACCTAGTTATGTCACTGTAATAATAAAAAGCAGGTATTTAACTTTGTGACAACGCTTGCGCTTGCGTCTACGTCAAAATTCAAGAACCTTTACATAGATTTATGGTCGATGGAACAAAACAAAAACCAAAAGTCACTAAGCAGATTTTAATGTGTTGTTAATTTGTATTTACAAATACACTTCTACCTCATAAAATTGTATAAATTTAGACTTGTCTCCTTACCCGATTACACTGTTACACTTCACCAATACACATTAACATTGTTTTGGGTGAAGACTTGAGTGTTGAAGATGTATAATTTTAAATTAAATATGTGCTTCGTCACAAAGGGACAAAGACACTTTCAAAATTTTTCTTGAACACTAATTAACTTTAATTAAGTTTTTTTTTCATCTCCTCTAAAATATGTAGAATAATATGTGTTCTTTTATGTGGTTATTTCGACAGAACTTCCCTCGCCCCCGAAGTACAATAAAAGATATCAAGCTTTTTCAAAAAATTCTAAAATTTGATTTTGTGAATTTCATTTTTTTATGAGAACCCCTGGAATTTAAAATAAAGATATGTATGGTAACGCTAAACTAAACGTAAAGAAGCATGCTACTGGTATATTTGAAATGAGTTTACCTTTTACAAAATTTTGTGATGACGTCATCGACATTTTTTCAAGGACATGGATGTCAGGTTGTATATGTGCAGTGTAATACTACTGATAGTAATTTAATTGTTTCATTTTAAATTCGACTGGCAAAATATTAATCAGTTCAGTATTCCCAAATTTTCGGGAAAATGAACTGACCCGTTCTTGCTGAATCAATAACTGATTCATTAATTTCTTTGAGTCGCCTGGGATAAGTAATTCTAAAAAATATAAATTCTATGATAAATCACAAGATGACGTTACCAATTTTTGCAGAGGATAAACAGATACATTTTGATTCCAAATTTACCATGCTTGCGACGATTTTAAAGATTTCAAAGCATTTGGTTTCGCAGTTCCTCATTTATTACATAAAATAAATTGACACATGGTTTAATTTTTTGAGTTACTCTGTATAAGCAATTCTAAAAAATATTAATGGAATCACAAGTATAGACTCATATTTTACACATTTTCGAGAGGATTTATTCGGCAAAATTTTGAGATGACATCAATTTTTTGGGAGCGGATAAAGGAATAAATTTTGATTAACGATTTACCATCATTAGGACAATCTTAAAACGTTTACAAAATGTTGTACAATTTTGACTTTTTTTCCAAAAATCTGGATGTCTAGGGTGAAACCTCAACACGAATTCATACATCAGAAGTGCAAGAGTTTCTTATTTTATAACATTAAAAAAAAAATATTATTGTAAATGTTGGAGATTACGTCATCTCATTGGTAGTGGAGATGGATGATTATCCAAATTTGGGTGACCGTTTTACCATCTACATGATATTTCTAATGTACATACATACAAAATTTGACAACAATTGGTCCAGCATTTTCGGAGATTATCTGCCGAATAAAAATCCGGACGGACGAACAGACAGACAGGCGGAAATGGGAGATCTACGTCTTCGAACTCTTGGGGTTATGACAGGTCGAGAAAACATAAAAGTAGGGAGTTGGCCGATGGACTCGATTACAATACTTCCTTACCTTACGCTCAGGAAGTAAAAACCGATTTAAAACACAATCAAAAGCAGCCATGGGTTTTTGAATATTTGTCTTTTGATAAAATTTTCGTCCAAAAACTGATGACGTCAGTGTAAAAATTTATTATTAGTTAACTTTATATTAAGTAGATAATTTAAACGGTATTGTGTTAATTATATAACTTGCTAACAAAATAATAATCTTAACTTTATTTATATATCAAATAATAATAAACAGTGTTTATAAAAAAAATTAAAACGTTACAATTTTCAGATATCGATATTTTAGTTTTTTTAAATGCAACACCCTGTATTTTACTAGTGCATCTACTCTTCCAATATATCGATGTGTCTCTTAAAAAAGTAACAATTAGCAATGTAACAAAATGAAATGTTAGGTACAATTTATCTTAACGAGAATATAAGGAACTCCCTTGAACACCTTTTTGAAAACTGTAGATGTCTTTACGAAAAGAACGACAGAAATGTACAACTCGAATGTCATTTTTGAAATGACTAAAATTTTATGGCCATGTAAAATTATAGATGGTCATAACTGTGTAAACAGACCCTAAATGGAATTGCACCAGTGGTAGGTAGAATCCCCTATCAGAGACGTATCCTTTTAAAATTTCAGTGTAGTGTCAAACGTTAAAAATCCGTTTTTCACCACAAAATATTTGCTAGAACACTTGTTGTATATACAATATGTGATTTATTAAAATTCTGGTCTTGACTACTTTATGATATTCAACCTTAAAGCCTTCCTTTATATGACTTACTTAACTGTCATTGCAAAATATATTTTCTTATACATTCTATGTGTGTCATAAAGGTATATATTTTTTAATAAAGAAACAGTGTACATTTGATTGTCATTTATCTGTCCAGTTTCCACCTATTGAACTAAAACAAATTTTCCACTGTGATTTGTAAACATGACTGGTCTTGGTGTATGGAAATTTAGTTTGCGGCAACACAAAGTAAATTGAAATTGGGTCTTAAGCCAATAAATTTAATCTGTGAACAAAGAAACCAGTTGTGATTGCATTTAATCAAAATCAAACAATCAACACTAAAACAAACAACGATGTTTATTTTACAACAAGGGCTCGCCATTTACATCGTGATAGTAATGAAGGCGTCAAGTAAATAAGATTTTTAGGGACCCTAGTCACCAAAAGTTAATGAATTGCAACTGGTATGGTTTTTGTTATAAATAATTTAAATTAAGAATGTGTATTTTTGTATATGTAGAATAGTAATAAATGACGAAACGCAGACGTATGGTTTATACTTTGTAATGTGGTTATTGCTGAAGATTCATCTGTACACTTGTACGTACACTTGTAGTCGTTGGCGATATTCTGGTCGTAAAGTATATTACGGTCATAACAACGTGGCTCGGATAGATGCTGAGTAAACGAAGTCAGTGACTTAAGAGTTGAGTAAAGCGGAGACAGGTGGCGCTAGTACGTTAAGTAAGCGTTTGAATGAATTAAGCGTATTAATGGAATCAGTAATTTGAGTAAAGTGTGTCTGTATAGCGATGCCCTCAGCGGATACCAGCTAAAACAATGCACTAAGAATGCGCGCGGTTAAGTGGAAGACAGGTGTATGAGGTGAGCATTCCGAGCAATTCCGAAGTAGGAAAACCAGCTACTCCAGTCAGTTGTCTGTCTGTCAAATTCAGGCAGGCGCAGCAAAGAGTCGAAAATCGTGGTTTAAGCGTTTTTGTGAGCCATGAGAACTAGACACTGAGTGACAGTCGTACACAAAAATCGGCGTTCGTCGAGTAGGTTCTCGGTTAGTCGCAACGCAAAACAACGCAACCGTGCAACAACGAAGGAACACAACGTAGATATCGCGATATCGGTAATCGGTGTCGTTCTCTAATCTTCCTCTGCAAGGGAAGGGGGGTGCGCAGCCGTGTGAACCCACTGGTCGGTCGGTGTATTGGTTAATGTCTGAAACTTTGTTGACTGGTAGTTGAGTGCCGAGAGCCGAGAGTCGATGAATCGAAAGTTGGTCGGGCGGTAGTGGAGCGAAGAGCGAGTGTTAGTGCGTGTGTGCGGTTCTGGTGCGGTGTGTACCCGTCCTGAGTGCCGAAGATGGCAATAAACCAGGACGATGCCAAACAGGTGTTGCGAGTTGACCAGGACTCGGAGACGGACCTGCAGGCGCTGTTCGACAGCGTGCTGAAGCCCGACTCGAAACGGCCGCTGCAGGTGCCTTGGAGCATGCGGAAGCTCCCGGACTCGTTCTTCAACCCGCCGTCCACGGGCTCCAAGTCGATCAACCACTCGCGGGAGAACTCGGTCGACTCGGCCTTCGGCTCGGCGGCGAGCGGCAGCGGCAGCACGACCGCCGCCGCCGCCTCCACCGCGCCCCTGCCCAGTGCCCACCACCGGGCGCACAGCTCGCCGGCCTCCCTCCAGCAGACCTACGCCGTGGGTCAGGCGCAGGCCGCCACGCACCACCACATCAAGCAGCGCTCCTACGACGTGGCCACCAAGGTCGAGGACAACACCCCGCTGCCCACCGGCTGGGAGCAGGCGCGCACCCCCGAGGGCCAGCTCTACTACTTGAAGTGAGTACTAGGACTCGGGCGGACGCCGCGGCGCCGCTAGCCGGATCTCCGACACCTGTTGTGCATTGTCCATTCCGTCCGCTCCGCCAGCGTTCCTCTTCTCTTTCTTCTCGTGTATATACCTACCTACCTGGCGAGACCAACGACCACCGACACAGACTAGATCTCGCGGTTAACCCGCCCTCTTTCGTGGAGGTCGCACTCAGCGCTGCTCGCTCGCTCGCTGCCTTGCTGGCTTTCACAACTATCTGCATAACGATTACCGTTTGTACCTGTTACGACCACTTTCTAGCGAGGAAACGGCTTTACCTTGTGTTATTTGCATATCAACAACCGTTCGATTATTAGCTATCAATTTACAACGCTTTCGGACCATCACATACCTAAGCTGACCGTTCCACGTTCGACCGATCGTTTTAAATTCCGATCTGTATCGAACGCACATACTAGATCTGACTCTGCCTAGTACTTCTTATTACAGTTTTTGACAGAAACGAGAAAACCAGAAACACCAACTATACTGAATAAATACATCATTTCATCGACCGACCATCGGATATATCTACTTCTTCTTTCCAAATTCTAGACGAGGTGATAATTAAAGTACTTTCCCGATCAGAAACTACTTCCAAGGCACTTAATAACCTGTTTTGTTAACGTGAAGGCTCATAAAAACCGACAACCTTACATTGAATGCACGGAGTCTGACACCCTTGACTATTGTTGAAACAAGGATCCAGTTCTACATTAACAAAGCGAACACAGGAATAGTTCATAATGCGCTAATACAGAACCCGCCACCATTATACCACTGTAAATAAACTTATTTATGGCCAAGCAAATCTCTTTGTAACATCAAAGATCCGCAAACAGACCTTGCAATAACACCCCGATCAATTCTAATTCTACCAACACTTTCTTCATCACCCCAAGACAAAGATCTACTAGAAATGGGATTCAAGTCAGAAGAAATCGAGAGAATTTTGAAAAAACTGACACTCAACTGGCTGAATCTATTACACAAATTATTATTATCAGTTCCAAAAGTTCCAAAACAATCATAAACCACCTTCGAAAGTACTGATTACGAATGGGTTTCTGTCCATTATCTAAATTTACGACGAATTTAGAACTACTAGTGATCTAAATTACAACAGACAACATTACCGTTTATTAAAAAAACGATGTTTTACCTCACGTTATCTTTATTTTTATTTCTTTAAAAGGTACGGCGAATTCGTTATTTTTAGTCTACCTGTTTTCGGCACCTTGTTTCTTAATGGAAGTGTATTTTACTTTTATAAAAGTCGGGGCGTACGTAGATAGGTTTTAAAAAGGTCCGACCTTTATTCTACGGCAGGTAAGAACACGGATCAAAGAAAAAAGTTGCCGTAGAAAACATTTCTTGGAAAGCAACCAAGGACATCCAATTATGAGGGAGGAATTTTATTCGAATAACCTGCAGCCGTTATTGTGTGATATTAACACTTTTTATTTTTTTTTATGGAATTATCAACAATTGTAATGTTGTATGTGTTTATTTTAATAGATGCGTCTATAAAATTTTAATTGGAAACCGCATAATAACTTTTTTTATTCGTGGATCTTTTGCAGCATGCGAGCAATTAGGAACCTCATTTAGTATTAATACTTGCAGTTTTTTATTACTAAAAGAAATATAACGTTATCAAGAATCATCATCAGAAGCTGAGACCATGTGCAGTTCCATAAAATACACGGTTATACGTGACGACAGCATATTTGTACTAAAATCGGCACCCAAAATTTTAAGTAGATATTTTTATGGCGTCTGATTTTGTGATTATCGTTATCACGAGAGTTGTAAGGCAATATTATCTATATAAAGTGTCATCTGTATAATTCTTTCATAAAAACTAACGTCGTACCTCGATTCAGGACGGTAACGAAAAGGTTATGTTTTCGCAGGTCCACAATATAGCCCTCAATGAAAAACTACACAGGTGGACCATAATTAATACTGAAATTCAACACCGCACGTCCTCTAAAAATAACCCAAAAACTCTTCAGAAACATCTGCAAGGGATGACCTGAATCATAGTGCACCGAGAATAATTTTTGTGTTAATAGAACAAGTTCGCGAACGTATCGTCATGGACAACGCTCGTTCATTGTAAACTAAGCAAGCCTGTAGTTCTTGTTTTTGCTGGCAGCGAAAAAGTGCGAGAGGTTTAGTCTGTGAATTTATTTCTGTGTATGTTTTTGTTTAATTTAACAGACTTGAAATTGGAAGAGAAGGTGGAACGATTTTTTGTCTTGTTTTTGTCTTACATGCCCATATGTAAATGCACAGTTGTTTGCTTTTTAGAGGAAATGTAATGTTTGTAATAGCTTATCTCAAGTTTCATAGATGCACACCTATCTTTATTACATTCTTACCAAATTAAAATACAGTTTTTAAGACAAATATTGTTTTTATGAGATCACGTACATTATTTTACTATTTTTGGAATTTGTGCGGATGCTTAAAGTTGTGTAATTGTAACTTCGTAGACGCAAATGATGAGTTTTTGTGGTATCTAATATGGTTTAACAGTTAAAAGTGACAGTTATCGCATGAAGCAAACCGGAAGTAACAGCCTACTAAGAATCCAACATGTTTGATATATGTATTTGTATTTGTAAATTAAACAACATTTGTATGCAGTTTTTGCGCAGAAATCAAGTATTAAATGGTTTTTGTTTTGATATTTGCTTACGGAATGTGTGGATCAATATCTACCTATAATATGGCGAGTGATAAAGCTGTATAATCATTGGAACCAAAGTTTAACGCAGAAATCACAACAATAACAACATGTGACATATAGAAATAATAATAACAATAACACGTGACGGGGTGATGTTTATAGAGCAAGAATAGATATAAGTTCGTGGCTGTAACATTATAGATGCAACATATCTTGCGATTATCATTCTTTTCTGAAATCCAACTCTTCTTTGTTTAAAACTCCATATATTCGTAACGGTTCTCACGAACAACCTCTATTAAAACTAGTATCATTCTTATCATATGTTTAATATAGTCCAATTATTCCACATAAATAGCCTGTTGTGACATTATTAGAAAGTTGACTATTTATAGAGCAGTATATTAAATCATTGTGAAATGTAGGGTGGAAAGCTTTATTTTTGTATTTGCATGGCGCCGCACTTACTTCGATATAATTTTGAAATAGCAATAAAGACGAGTCTAAACATGACAAAATTACCTGAGTTCATTCGCATCAAAAACCATTTAAACTTCGTATTGATGATCCTTTTTTAGTACGTACGGAGAAACATGGGGGTCGTAAAATGATTAAATTTTAGATTTTATTGTCCACCAGCATCAGACAATTTATCTCATTACGGTTTCATCTGCATACAAAATAGTTTAATAAAATGGCAGTTAACAGTTCTTTATTTAAATTTGAATCGTAATGGTTTTACATCTTAACGGTTTACACAGGGAAGCCATCTTTGTGCTCCGTAGTAAATATTCCGTGTGTTATCAAACCATTACAAGTGTTCAGTTATCGTAATGTTTTAATTTCGGTATTATTTGCCCTTTCGAGCCGGATATGTAACAGTAACAAGTGCGATGCAGACAACTTTAATGCTTCCTCTTAAACTTTGAAAAATGAATTTTAACAGTAGACACCTATGTCGGTATGTAAGGTTAATGATATTAGAGATATCTACTTGTAACACAGGTGAGCCAGAACCGAGCGATAGTTGGTAGGAATATCTTTTTGATTTATGCTAAACGAAAGCGAAGGTCATCTTGTCTGCGGTTACTAGACATGCCATTTTCGTTCTTCTGCAAACTACAGCTATTTGAACATTATCAAAAAATGCAAATATTTGCAGTAAGTGTTATTTCAATATTGTTAAGTTTTACTTTCAACTGAATGTCAAAAACGTCAATTGAGTTACAGTTTTCATGATACTAAAAGTCAAACACTATTACGAACGTCGCTAAAGTAAATATTTTTGCAGTTTTTCTTCGTTCAAACAAGCCGAGGGCCTTTAGGGTAACACCTAAAGGTCGCGAGTTCAAACCGAGCGGAAGCGCTTTTTTATCAGTTTATCTACGATAGCAAAGTGTATGACGATCTTTGTGTACTCGTATTGTGTTCGTCTCGTTTTTAATTATAAATTGCCATGAGAAATGACGGTTTTAATTGATAATGCGTTATCGCAGCGTAAAAATGACCAAATTAGTCAACGTCTGACATTTATGCAACTCTTGGCGATTTGGTATTTGTAGAAGGTTAATTTCAGTTGCATGAATGGAAACAAAATGCTCCTGAAAATATGTGTTTAAAAATTAAAGATGATATCACTTCCGGTGAAACCGAAGATGAATGAGTGTTTTTGTTATCGTTCACAATGGAAGGTTTGTCGAAGTAAGTCGAGTGAGCGAATTTCATATTTCGTAGAAAATCTCAACACGATTGTACAATCATGTTTGAAAATGGAATTATTAAAAACAAAAATTATATCACGCTGTCAAGGTTTGATCATGCACTGGGCGATTAGCATATAATGGGAGTCGATTTTTGAAAATCGAAAGGTTTGATTGTTGTATTTTATCGAATTTCGTTGTTTTTTGGCCGACATGTTCACTTTTCTGAAGAAATTTCGAAACTCGGCTACGTTGTACTAACAATATGCATGCTACTTAGTTTACTGTAAACATTATGTGTTATAAAGTAAAATTCCCAATAAAGTTCTAAATATAGTCGAGATCATGGTTCAAATCTAGTTCGTATTAACCTCGTGTCTTGGTTTCCTGGAATTCGAACTTCAGATGTCGTACCTCAACTCCGAGCCCCACATTTTCCTTCGCTTTCCAACATTTCAAAAACAAAAATAACTTTTTCTCTCTACGCAGATGTTGTAACACGCACGTGTAGCAAAAACCGATTGTGTTTGTCTGGGAAGTGTAATAGAAAGTCCTTTGAAAATACAAGAAC